ATGATTTCTTTCGTTTATTCATTCATTCATTCGCTCATTCATTCACTCAGTCATTCGATCATTCATTAATTGATTCATTGGTTCATTCATTTCGTTCATTCATTCACTCACTCACTCACTCGTTCGATCATTAATTCATTCATTCAGTCATTCATTTATTAATTTATTCAGTTTGTATGTTTGTGTTTGTTTGCCTATCTTTCTATTTGTTTCAAATCCATTTATCCATCTATCTACCTATCTGTCTATATCATATCTGCGCACACCCACCCAACCATTTCAGCTGGTACACCTGGCAACACTGGCAGCTTATCAGAAGGGGCGCTGTTGACTACAGTAGTGGCTTGCGTTCATGTCCTTACTTGGGGGAATTCCCAGCCCCTATTTGTGGGTCAAGGGACATCAAATATAGAGTCCCTCATTTGTTTGTATGGAAATCTGTGGCTGAAACAAATGGAACCCAAAATGGCACGGTAAATGGAGCCAGGCACTAAAACAGGCAGTTTGCCTATCTGTTTAATGATGAACCACACCCATATGTGGGGAGGCTTAATCCACTTTTCTAAGGGCCAACTTGCATACCCCAAATGGACCTACCCCAAAATTAGTGGTTCTACATGGGTCACACCGGGGTACATACTCCAAAATCCATCCCTACATCAGGCCAATATGTGGGGAGGCTTAACCAAATTTGTGCTGATTTGGGTTTGGAAGCGAATGGCCGAGGCTGCAGTGGGTCCTACTCCACCTGACAGATGATGATGTGGTGGCATTCCTCGCGAGGCGCGGTTGGCTACGCTTGGTGCGGTGGGTTGCGGAAGAGCACGTGCTTGTAGAGGTTTCCCAATCAGGATTGTGGATTATGATTTACCAGCCTCAATTTGAACAGCCCAGTAAGACACAGATTACGGATGATTGCAACAAGAGAAGCAGCATGCTTCCCCAGAATTAGCTCCCCTTTTTACTTGTTTGCTTTTTTGGGGGTCCCTTTGTTTTCCGCTAACCAGGCAAAAAAGATATTTTTTGCTGGGGTCCTAATTCCAGCCTAGCATGGGTGTCCTTTTTGGTTTGGTTGAAAAGTAGAGGGCCCTGAAGTTTACTTGGTTCAATCAACCACCAGGGCCATCTATGGCCACCCCCAAAGGGCGCCTAGAAGCAGTCGTTGGGTTGGCCAAGCAAGACGGTGGCCACCCCCAGCTAGAATTTGTTGTTTGTGTGTATGTGGGAGTGTCGCTTTCGAGCGTACCCCTGCTTTGCTGGGTTGGATTAGAGAGAAACGAAACGGAAGCTCAACTTTTTCAGGGGTCTCCTACTGTTTTCCAAAAAAGTAGAAACAAACATGCAAGAGTGCCTTGGGCATTTGCGTGTCACTCTGAAGAGTTTTTTTTTTGGCTGACGGGCACCTTGTTGGCACAGATTTTGAGTCCACCATGAAAGGTCACCGTGCACCTTCCTTTTGGACCCTGAAAAGCAGTGTGGCCGATCTGTCATTCAAGAAAGGAAGCAGCTTAAGAAGGAGTTTTTCGAGTCAAGGAGAATTTCTTCTTGGTTCATTGAAGGATCGGCCGAAATCCCCACGCTTTCGGGGTATGTCTCCGGGTGTCAGCTAAGGTGCCGGGACAGGCTACGACCAAATGGAGTCATTGTGATTAAGGACGGGGTTCGGACGCACATGCTGACAATTAGGCGTGGGTCAAAAATCGGTACCCAACAAGAAACCTGGGTAAATGGAACCAAGGACTACAACCTGCGGTCCCTTCGGGTGGTTTAGTTTTGACCCATACCCGATTCAGGTGGCACACACTTTTCGGACAGCAAAAGGTTCCCCACTGAGGGGGGCGGCTGTTTGTGATACGGGAGTCCCCATCAAGTAATCAGTTCTTCATGAGATGGGGACCTTTGGCCGGAACCATGCCATGTTGTTTTTGCGCCCGCGAAGTCAAGGCAGTAGCAGTGCTCTAACATGTTTGTGGGGTCGATGGTCTCCTGCAGAACATGAAATTCAAGCTCCTTCGTTTCTGGACGATTGTGCTTGGGGAAGCTCCCTTTGTCGAGTTCATTTTGGGGGGCGCTACTTTTGGGGGGCGCCATCACATAGCAGGATTGTTGCTGGAAGGGAGCCAAGGAGCTATAGGGGTGTGTTCAAAGAGGAAGCTAAGGAGCTACCAGGAGTTCTATAAGGACATTGTAGCTTCTCTTGAAGCCAACTGAAGGTGCCAAATCAAGAAAACAACCAAGAACCAACGTGATGTTTGGATAAGAGCGTTTACTGCCATCCCCCGACGGTTAGGATTGCAGGGTTTGCATTGTGATCCTCGGGAAAATTTGGGCGAAACCCTGAAAGAGGGCAAGGGAACTCAAAAGGTAATCCCCGGTCAAACATCCTGCGAGCCGGGCCTCTGAATTTCGGATGTGGGCAGATGAATTGCAGCCGGGTTGGTTTGACACCGAAAAAGGTCGCTGTGAAACTTTGTTTTCGTTGGATTTGGGGAGTGAGTTGTCATAATTACATAAACATGTTGCTGTTACCCTCGTGTGTAGTGTGTGGACAGCGAAACAGTCAAAACAGTCAACCCCGAAAACCTGCTTCTACAAGGGTCCCGGGCATGATTGGCAGTCCCGTAATGGGAAAATATCCATGTCCAGTTTGGACTTCCACCCCCGAATATCCCTGACTTTGTAGTCAGGGGTTGCCAACATACCCTTCAAAAAAGAAAGGCACACGCACATGATCCCCACATCAAAATGTAGTGGCTTCTGAGCTTCCTTATTCAACGCATATTTGGATACCCCTTTCGGCTCCGTAACGGCTGCCTTCCAGCCACCGAATTGTTGCATCCAAATCTACCCTTTCCAGGTGATCCCCGAATGAGCACGGGGACCCTCATCTTTGAGAAAAAAAAGCCCAGTGAAGTCCAGTGAAGTCCCAGGCGCAGTGGTCTTTTGAGAAGACCTTTTGACCTTTTGACCTTTCGGTTTTCCCTGTTTGGTCTAGTATTGTTAGTAGGGGTCCCAAAAGGTGAACCTTTTATTCATGGGTCCTTTGGGCAAGTGAGTCTTGTCAGGACAACGTCGCCTTTGGCGAGTGGGAGGCGGACCTGTCGGACCACAGCATCGCTCGCTTCTCTCTTCAAGCGGGACTTCGGTTCGGGCTCGGCGTTTTTCGGCTCGGAGCTCCCGAATGGGGTCCTGTGAAAGGACAACCAAAGGAGAAGACCAACATATTGTGGTCTACTATCTGAAGACACATCCATGTCTCTCAACTGGAGCCCTGTTTTGTGAGGATGCTCATGAATCTGTGTGGGGCAAATTCGGGGAGGGGGGGGGGGGAAGTGGTGTTATATAATTATATATATATATATATGGCGGTGGCAAATCGGGGGACGCTCTGTGATACCAAACAAACGAACCCGAGGTGATGCAGTAGTTCGGGCGATGGCCCATTTTCGATTTCCAACTGGTTGGACGTCCGAACATGTCAGTTTCATCAGGCACATTGTAGCTTTGGAAAGGGTACATCCATTGATCTTCAACAAACATCTTGCCCGGGTATTTGTCTCGTCGGGGAATGCCACCAACCAGTTTGGGCGTTATTTTTTTTTCTGTGGGGGGGGTTGCTTCCTTGGTTATCACTATGAAGGCTCCCAATTCTTTTTTTTGGCGGGCAGGGCCACCCTTTTCTTGGTAGATCAGGTATCCCTCAGTTGTGTGGGGATTTGAAGCCCTGGATGTGGAAGGCAATTGGAAAGTCACCGGGAACACCACGAAACCAACCCAAACTAGGAGTGAAGCTGGCCACAGCACCAAACCACTGACCAAGCCAAACCATCAATCCAATTCATGGACTGAAGCTGCAAGGCAAATGCAGAAACCTGAGTTGCAACTCAGGCCAATTGCCGGGAAGCTGAGTAGCAGAGCCCAAAAAGATCGCGGAGTCCATCTCGTCCCCTCAACCCGGGCCCTAAAAGCTGCACTGGCCTCCGTTCCAGCACCCAATTACTTCGCTCTGGGCGCAGTAAGTTTCCAGAAAAAATCAAAAACAACACGTAGATCGAAGAACTGCTGCGGTTTCGTTTTTTTTTTGGGGGGGGGAGTCCTTCAAGGTCCCCCTCTCCCCTTTAAGCTGCACTAGCATCTCTTTTGGAATGGCAAAAGCGACACCTACACCACCGGTAAAGGCGGGGACTCCTGCCTTTCCTGCGGTAAAACCGGACACTGGAAGAGGGATTGCCGCAAACTCAAGTGGGATAAAGAACACAACATGTGGCTTGTCAACACAGGCCCTACGCCTTGGGAGCCGGCTTCGCACATCCCAAAACGCGGCTCGCCAAACGAGGCACCGCGCCGCTCTTCCGGCGCCTCTTTCGCCTGGCCAAGCTCCAGCTGGAGTTTCTTGGCCCAGGTCTGGCTCCATGTCCATCCGATGCTTCCAGGTGCCACCATGTATGTATATAATGTGTACATATATATATATATATATATGTATATTACACACGTATTTGTATGTGTATATATATATATATATATGCCATGCTACTGGTCACCAAACAGAAACAAACACTGAGCTCGTGCCGCGCACGCGCAAGCCTTTATCGCAAAAAAATATCACTGCCTCCACAGGGTCGCCTCGCGCCGCTCGCGCCGCTCGCGCCGAACGCCGCTGCGAGGCTCAACGTGAAGCAGCGCAATTGGCCGGGGGGGCTGATCCCGGTGAGAATCTTCGCCCTGCGGCCAAGCTGAGCTGCGAAAAAGGCGAAAAAGTGCAAGATCCGTGTGCCAGGGGACGTTCCCTTGCTGCGGTTTCCAATGGATATATGTGTCACATTTGCTCTTTTTTGTCTTCGGGGGAGGGGGGGTGTTCCAATAGAAAAAGACAAAACCCACATGAATCGGAATACGGGACGCCTTTCAAGACACAAGACAAATCGAAGGGCTCAAGCACTTGCCCCATCCTATAGACTTGGTGGCTCCCAGCCATCCCCTTGGCCTTTTTAGCCTTCTAGTGTTTAGTGGGGATTTACATTCAACCCACTAAAAGTTAAACTTTCAGCGGGGGATCTGAGTACAAGCATTTTGGTTCTCAACCGGGTGATTTCCAAGAAGACTGAACCGAAAGGGCGGGACCCACAGGAGACCAGGCAATTCGGGGCTCCCTTCCCTGAGAGAACCAGCAAGTTGATGCGCGCACCGACGCGAGCGGAAAACCGCCGACTCGTCGGGAGCACCTGGCCATCGCTGGTCCACACCAGTTCTCAAAGGAAAGGACTCCGTGCCGGTGTGTCTCTCAGGGGACACCCGCAAAATGGTGGTTTGCCTTGTGTTTGTTTTCCTTTAAAATCAAGAAAGAGTACCCTGAGGCAAGACGTACCAAGAACATAAGCTGCACCCCAACAAGAGGTCCCTCAAAGGCAACAAAGGCTTGGCTCGAATGATACCCACCGGGATTCATCCCCGATCTGATCCGGTTCTGGCTTGTTTGTTTTGTTTGTTTGTTTGCTTGCTTGCTTGCTTGCTTGCTTGCTTGCTTGTCTGTTTGTTTGTTTGTTTACTTGTCCGTTTGTCTGTCTGTCTGCCTGCCTGCCTGTGCGGTTGTTGCTTGTTTTCCACCTCAAGTCAAGTATTGACTCTGTCCAAAGTGATTTAGTGTTCATGGATGCTACTGCTTGCGCGTTCAAGGATTGGTTTCCTTCCCCAGCATGTTTGAATCCCCTTATGCCAACATATGCCAACGCCTTACGAGAATTCCATTTGTATTGCCAAGCTTGGATATCGGCGATATTGCTATGCCATTTACGTTCCAGGTCTCGGTGCTTTGGCCCTGGCATTGCTTTGTTGCAGCTTGTGATTGGACGGATGCGACTGTCAGGGGTGTTTTTTTTCCTCGCGTGCATCGACGTCGACTGTTGGTCGAACTCCTTCGGGGAGGGCCCCCACATATTTGCTTGTTGGTTTCCCAGCAAATGGTATCGGTATCGGTCAAAGAGAAAACAACAAAACAAACAAATCACGGGTTTGGCTTTCCTTGCAACCAACCTGAAAGACGGGTGCCGAGACTCCAACAACAAACCACCCGATTTTCCAAGACCTTCAAAAGTATTTCATAAAGGGTAGATGACATTTAGGGGTTTCCCACCAGCTTTAGGGGCAACCAATTGGGTGACCATATCCGAAGCCCCACGAAACCCCTGACCCAAGGGTGTCAACATCACCTTTCGCCCATGGCCTATATTTCCCAACCGCCTGCCTCCTTCAGTGCATCCTATGCAGGGACGGACCCAAACTTCAGTTTCTTCCACTACGGCTTTTATGGATCCGTTGGGTTGCTTTAACGACAAACTCTACAACACACAAAAACCACTTCATGACTCCCTCACTTCCTGAGTTCATGAACTTTAAACTTTTTGGGAAGACCATTTTAGTGGCAAATCTAAAGTTTGAATTTTTTTTTGGCCATCCACTCAGCAAGTGAGCTCCTTTGGGTTGGTTTCAAGGGAGGCCAAAAAGAAAAACCGGAAAACCGGCCCGCAGCCCAGGTCGGGGGGTCCGACCTACTGTGGACAAGATCCGTTCGCAACACTTTCAAAACATGTGAAACAACCAGTTGTTGATATTTGCAGGGGGAATCCTCATAGGGTTTCTGAACGGTGCGATTTCTGGATTTCGCGTCACCATCCACAGTACCCATCCTCGCCAGGAGCACGGAGCTATTCCCGGGCGCGGAGGTTCGACTCGTGGGTCTCCAGCTGCCGCACTTGGAGGAGGGAAAACATCCGTGGCCCCTGCAACGGGGTGCTGGTTGGTTTTGCCGGCGTGTCCTTTCTTTTGTTTTGTGGTGTGTTGTGCTTCGTGTTGTTTCTTGTTGTTTTTGTTCTGTGTTTTGTGTTGTGTTTATTTGTTGGGGGGGGTAGCTTTTTTGGGGGGATGGTACCTTTTGGGGGCTTGGTGATTAAAGGGAACAGATGGGACAACCAGCATTTTGGAAGCATGTATGTTGCCTTGTGTTGGTTTGTCTTGTCTCGTGTTGTCTCGTTTGCCTCTGTGTTTGTGTTGCTTGGCTTTGATGCATCGCGAATATTCTTAGCTCCGTGTTGTCGTGTTGTGTTTGGTGCGCGTGTGCACTGTTTATTGCCGCATGGTCTTATGTTTTGTGTGGTGTTGATTTGTGTTGTTTTCTCGTGTCGGGCTTTGAATTGTTTGTGTTGTGTTGTCTAGTGTCGTTCTATGTGTTGTGGTGTTTTAGTTATGTATTGGTGTGTCTTGTCGTGTTTTATACTTCTTCGTTGAGCTGACTTTGGCTTGATTTGCATTATTTGGTGTTGATGCGTGTTTTTCTTTTGTTATGTCTTGTTTTGTTGTATGTGTTGTGTTGTCTTGTATCGCTTTCTTTGATTTTGTGCAGCTGTCTGGCAGTGTTGATTGTTTGTTTGTTTTTTGGCGTGAGTTGCTTGTTTTCTTGTCTTGGTGTGCTTAGCGTCATTATCATGCTTGCTGGCTGGCTGGCTGGCTTGCTTGCTTTCTTGCTTGCCTGTGTGTGTGTGTGTTTGCTTGTGTGTGTGTGTGCAGTTTGCGCGATTTGTTGTGTTTGCCGTGTTTTGCTTGTTTGCTTGCTTGCGTGCACGTTTGTTTGCTTGTTTTCCTTGCTGTGCGGGTGCAAGGTTTGCTGTTGTGCTCGCTTGCCTGCCTGCTTGATTGCTTGCTCGCTCGCTTGCTTGCTTGCGGTTTGGATTGACCCCTTCGAAAACCAGTGTCTCAACAGTGGCAGGCATCCAGGGGGGAAGTGGCAAATGGGTGGTTTCCCTTTGGTTTCCATTTTACACAGCCCCCCAAAACAGGGTACTTAAGAACAATCCCATGTTGTTTCAATTTCTCGCCCAAGGGCAAATACAAGGGGGGTGGATTCGTTCTTTTGCAAACTACTTGCGAGATGAGATGATGATCCCCAGATAAACCGGGTCCTTCGGCTTGTTTTGCTTGTGCAGGTTTCATGTTGGCCGCGCACGAAAAAAAGATCGCGGCGTGCCCGTGGCAGGTTAGGCTGGGAACACTCGTTTACTAGGTCCCCCAGTACTGCCCTTTGACCCTGGTTTGGGGGAGGGTCCCCTTACTAAAAGTAGACTACAGAAAAGAGTTGGGTGCCATGTTGATTGGTGGGAGGGTATCTAGGTCCCCCAGTAGTGCCCTTTCCCCTTTTTGGGTTGGGAGGGTTCCCCTACTAAAATCGACGAAACCGAAAAAGAATCGGGTACCAACTTCTTCTAAGCTCTCCGGACTCGTTGAGGTTTTCCCGTCTAAGCTGCGCTTTTGCCAGGGCAAGATTGGCACCTGTACCCAGTTCGACCCGGACGGCTATGTGAGAGTGCGGCTCAGCAGTGGCGAGCTCAAGGCGTGGGTTGCTTGCGCTGTGTCAACAAATGCCCTTTGTCCCAAGGCCACTGCGGGCCAGGGTTGTTGTAAAAGGGAAATAAAAAGGGAACGAATACAGATTGATTGGGCGTTCCTTGCTTTTGCGAGCCCATTCCGGGCCCTATTGAACGTTGGGGATTGATTCAGATGGGGGAGATTGGGGGAATCAAGCAAGTTAATCAGCACACGCGGACTGTGAAAGGACCACACCAGGAAAATATTCGCAAAGTAGTCAGCGAGTCAGGGCATATGTCAGCACAGGACCCTGAAGCTGTGTCAGCTTTCGCTCTTCTTTTGGTAGGCTGCCTGTTGAAATTATAGGTCTCCTGTATGGTTGTTTTGGTAGAAAGTAGATGGCCCTGGTTGACCTGGTTATATTATGATCAACCAGGGCCATCTATATTCTCAACAGGCAGCTATGGTTGGAAACCGCAAGAAGGAATGCCAGAAAGCTTTCGTGAGCTTGCTGCCGGCCGGCGTGCCATGCCTTTTTGCAGGTTGGTTATGGCAAACACATCCCCACCCCCAAACAAAAGTATATGGAGGGCCGCGCAGCGGTGTTGGGGGTGGGGGTGCAACGTATGTCCTTTATGGGGGCTGACAGAATTCCTTGTCGAGTGGCCACAGCTTTCCAGACAGCATCAGGGTGTGCTTTGTTAGGGGACTCTCCCAAAACATGCCTTTTGGTTTCTGGTAACACAACAACAAACATGGGGTCGGGATGTTGAATAGCAGCAAACCGCAAACATTGGCAGCTGACAGCAACCAGCAAAGGGCTAAGAGCAAGCAGCAGTAACGAGCAGCAGCAAACAGCAGCAACAAGAAGGGTCGACAGCATCAACGCAGCAGCAGCCAGATCGATGACCGGAATTTACGCAGAACGATTCGCGATGCGTACAAGTACAAGTACTGGCAGCATGCTACACAGGTACTGTCAAGGGACCCAGATAGGGACGTACGAACCTACAAGGGTATTTAAGGCTACAAACGGGTATAGTTTGAGCACTTGATACTTCCACAACTCTACTGTAGTTGTTGGGGTGCTCCTGGGACTCCTAGCACTGCGGTTGCTGTTGCTGCCACAACCACCACCACCACGACTACTACCACTACCACTACTACTACCACTAGTATTATTACTATACTACTGCTGCTACTGCTGCTACTACTACTACTACTACTACTACTACTACCTAGGACGACTACTGCTACTACTGGCACTAGTACTAGCACTAGTGCAAGTACTATAGTACTACTACTACTACTACTACTACTACTACTACTACTACTACTACTACTACTACTACTACTAGTACTACTACTACTACTACTACTACTACTACTACTACTACTACTACTACTACTACTACTACTACTACGACCACGACCACGACCACCACCACCACCACCAATGTCACCCTGGGCTCGGCAGGCAGTGAAGCCTCAGAACCTGATGCTCGCCTCGCAGCCCAAAGCAGACACAGCCCCAAAAACGCCGCCGAAGCCTGGCAAGGAGCTGTTTGGGGTGGAACCAGCCCAACGTCTTTGAAAGCCTGGTGTTCAGACTGCCGATGACTGCCATTTTACTGTAGTGAACCAGCTGTCAGAAAAGAAGCGTGGAGGTTTGGAAGCACCAGTCAGAAGGCAGCACGTTTAGATTGCATGGGTGTGTTGGCAACAACCCACTGATGGAATTCCCGACTTTACTGCGTTTTGCTTGGCCGAATGGGACAGGGTCGGGTGCCGATGGGTTTCAAGAATGCTTCTAAGAAGGCTCCGGCCCCGGCCCCGGCCCCCAGCTTTTTGCTCAGTTCACTGGCAACCAAGTGGATTGCGCGGCCACTAAAAAACAAGCCGAATATTTTTCCAGGTCCCCCAGTAGTGCCCTTTTACCCTTTTTTTTGGGAGGCTTCCCCTACTTAAAGTAGACTTCAGAAACAAGGGTACCCTTGTTCTAAGCTCTCTACTGGAGGACATTGAAATGATCAACCCCGAACAGGGTTTCCTTTTTGGGCGTGGTGGGGCGGCATGCCCCACTCACCGACTCACCCGCGCCTGCGACCGCGGAGGCGTTCCCTTGCCATAGGGGCACTGGGCAACTGGAGTTCTGCAGTGCGACTTGTTCCGTGGAAGACTGCGGCGCTTGCCCCGAGTAACTCTCCTTTTGGTCTCCCTTTAATATTTGACCGAACTTGAAACGGGTCCAAACAAAGAAGAACATCTATTCCTGGCAGCCGGAACTTGCAGTGGGACATGCTGGATTCTTGGGGCATTTGAATTTTTGGAGGGTACCTCTTTTTGGTAGTTTTGGAAAGGAACACCACAATTTGTGGCGCATCCATATGGGTTCAACACTAATTCGTCCACCAAACCAGTGGCCTCACTAGGAGAAGACGAAAGAGCCGAGCTACTGGCCAAAGCGCTGGCCTCGGACGCAAGTTGCGAGCGAAGATTTTTCCAGGGCGATGCCTGGGGTATGTTGAACTTGGCATGTGGGGTTCATCAAACGGTGCGTCAAACATGAAATAAGCTCAGGTGATATCCCCAACAGCATGCGGTGGTCTTTGTGTGTGTGTGTGTGGGTGTGGGGGTGTGTGGGGGTGTGGGTGTGTGTGGGTGTGTGGGGGTGTGGGTGTGGGTGTGTGTGTGTGTGTGTGTGTGTGTGTGTGTGTGCGCCGTGCGTCCGTCCGTCCGTCCGTCCGTCCGTCCGTCCGTCCGTCCGTCCGTCCGTCCGTCCGTCCGTCCGTCAGTGCGTGCGTGCGTGCGTGCGTGCGTGCGTGCGTGCGTGCGTGCGTGCGTGCGTGCGTGCGCGCGCGCATGTGTGTGTGTGTGTGCGCGCGCGCGTGTGTGTGTTTGCACTTGTTTGCACGAGTCTGTATGTGGGCGATTGCATCATTTAGTCTCTGGCCAGGTTGTTGGCAGATGACTGCTGTGGTTGAAGTGATGTGATGCATTGGGATAGCTTGAATATGAATTCTGGGATGGAACGCAATGTGCACTGCATCTCGCATCACGTTGCACAGTCAGTCAGACAACCTGGCACGATGAGTCCATATTTCAAAGCCTCGTAGATTGTTTTTGTTTGTCTTCCAATGGCCGACGGCTCTTAATACATTCGCATTTTGCTTACTTGGGACGCACCAGAAACAAACCATGCACATGGCTCTGAATTGTTGAACCTCTTACCGCCGTAGTGCTCAATCCAAATGGCACCTAGCCTGCTTCCTGAATCTCTACTGCCCACTTGGCAGACTGCAGGTGGGCAATGTTCGCACTGACGGCGGCGTCTGCTTTTGTGCCACTCGGCATGCAGTTGATGTTGTGTAGACAAAAGTGGTTGTTTGCTTTGATATTGGATGTATGTGAATGTGTTCGTCGTCGGAGCTTTGCAAGATGAAGGCAAACAATGGATTAGATATATCAAGCGCAGCTCTCCGTAGTGGAGCACTCATGTTGGGTTTTAGGGATATTCCATGCTTTGCAGTTCTACTCCACATCAGATTTTGCATGTTCACACGCAGCAGCAACTATACATGATCCAGCTCAATCATGCCCTACCAACACACATAGATTGTCAACAATGCGTGAAGTTTGTTGCACCCAAGAAACACAACATAGCACAGCAAGGGGAGAATACCAACATGCGCTTGAAATCAAACCTTCCAAGTTTTGAACCATGACCAAAGCCCCTACACATTTTTTGTTTTCACACCTCAGTTCCGCTGTAAGTGGCACGATTTTGCTGGCCGCTGTGTTTTTTCGAGAGACTCATCACCTACGACAACACTCCAAGATCCATGCGAGATGCGACACGGACTTTCTTGGAGCCGAGTGTTACCCACTCAGAGTGAAGACACCGTTTAGGTTTTATGTCTCACGTGTCACGCGTCTCGCTTTGGGAGGGCCATGGTCCATTCGGGTTGGGTGAATCGAAGTGCTTGCAACTGGCATCAACTTGGTAGACCTCCAAGTTCAGAAGCCGGGGCGTTGCTATTCATCATGGGGGGGTGCCTCATGCGGGGGTTGTTTTCTTGGTTTGCCTTGAAGACCCCCGAACAAACGATGTTGAGAACGAGATGCGCCCCTCCAATTGATTAGTTTGATGCTTAATTTATGGTTGCCATTGAAGCAGTCCCCAAATGACTTCCCAGTACAACAATGATGCTGGATCTGGATGCCCTTGACTTTCAAAAGACCTGTCAGCGCGCTCATTTTCAGGCGGTTCTCTTCTTCAATGTTTGCTCATATGTTTTTTTCAACCCCCTCTTCCAGGCTGCCTTTGGGTCGGTAATTCGCGATAGCTGCACTCCGAGTTCTTACAGTAATCGTGATATCAATGCCGTGTGTCCCACTGGACTTTCAATGAATCTGTGTGTTTGCTCACCTTGTCTGTTTCTAGCCAGGTGAAGACATGTCAAGCCTTTGACGTTTCCTAGCTGCCAGTTCATGGTAGCTTGGCATTAAGCTTGCTGTTGGTGAAGTCTGGAGCCAACACATGATGCAATCAACTATGGACCCTTCCACCAAACAAGACAATGGGCCTTTGCACCAGCCCATGTTTGCTGGTGCAAGGGTACCTCCAATCCAAAGGAAACTTGGGGGGGTCCTAGGTCCATGAATTCTGTATTCAGGCTCTTCAGATACTTTCAACTGCAAGAGCACGACAAGAGTGTGGAAGAGAAGCGCCTTCTGAAGGAGAAGGAGGAGGAGGACAGGGCCGCATCGCTCCCCCAGTAGTGCCCTTTCTCACCCTTTGTTGGTTGGAAGGGTTCCCCTACTGACATAGACTACAGAAAAAGTTGATACCCTTACTCTAACCTCTTTACTCACAGCAAACCCGAGTAAGTCCAGGTTTGCAAAGGGAGCGGCCCAATCACAGATAGGTGCGGTTGCCCGTTTGGGTAGATCATGTCAGCATCTTACACGGCGGGAGTGAAGGGCGGGAGCAAACACACAATTTGAAATACGGGTTTGCGGTGGCTTTCCTTTTAATCTCCCTTGGAACTACCCCAAAATGGTACCCTTGAAAAAAAACACACCCATTTGCCATAGGTTCTTTGGAGGAACCTCCATATGCAACTTGGTGATAGTGGAAATCGTGTGAAAACCTGCGCTCGCAACATCCTGGAAATGGGCAAGACTCTCTGAATCTCGCTCCCAGAGCTCCTGGACTTTATTTCTTGTGGGTTTGGACCATCTTAGGATGGTTTTCCACTAAGATGGTCTTCCCAGAGTTCCACTAAGACTTTATTATACTTTTTGGGACCATCTTAGTGGAAAACCGAAAGCTCGGACTGTTTCTGGCGAATCATTTCGATCGGAAGTGAGTAAATGACCTACTAAGCCGACTTTGTGCATCGGTATCAGAGGCTGGCAGACGTGTCCAGTTGAATTTTAGGGAGCCGTGGTGACCAAAACGCTCTTGATGCAGGGGGGGTTACCCACCTGTTTGGAGACTCTTCCATTTGCGAAAGAGTATTTTTTCCGCCTGGGCTTGTTATGGGAGTCTATCACCACTAGGCATATATTTATATTTTGTCCATCAAGCAAATGGAAGAACCCTGCCCCATGCGTTTTCACCTTGCTACAAGAGCAATGCACGGAGGGTTTACCCAGTGGGGTGCAGGATGCAAACTAAGAGGTCCGTTGCCCCAATGTCGCAAATACGTTCAGTGGTTGCCATAGCGTCTTTCTTGCGACAGAAATAAATGTCAGTTGAGTGGCCCACCCGAAAAATGTTGCCATTTGCGTAGAGTACAGCTTGGACCCGCTGTTGCGTGGGATTGTCTGAAACAACTCACTCCCTGAGTTCATGGACTTTAGTCACTTTTTGGGTTTGGACCATTTTAGTGCTAAACAACAAGGTGCTTTTGTTTGGCCAGTCCGCTCGATCGGAAGTGAAACAATCTTTTTCAAAATATTGGGCTCGGAACCAACGTGAGTTTTGCAAGCTGATCAATTGACATCTGGCCATAAGCTCCAGAGCTCGGTTCTCCATCATTTTGTTTTCGGGTTAATGGTGGGCAGGGTTGTGTTGTGGGATCAAGGGTTTATCCCCACTTCTGTGATACAAGGGAATCTCCTCCATATAACCAGGGGGTTAGTCTTTGGGAATCCCTTTCTGCTGTATCACAGAAGTGGATTCCATTTCCCAGAGCTTTGGCGGGTGATTCAGTGACTACCGTTCTTGCAGAGAAAGCCCCGCCGGACGAACTCGGGACATGACTGGAGCCCATGTGTGAAAACGGTTTTTGAGGCCTCTTTCCACTCATGGATGGCCCAAAAGGGTTTGAGACTACTAGACTCCTCTTGTTATGGCCGAAAAAGGACCGACGCTTGCAAGCGCTTTAGAACCAAGCGTCTGCAGCTTTTCTGGCTCTCCATTGTCGGAAAAACGACCAACCGTTGTGAACGCTTTAGAACAAAGCGTCAGCTGTTTCTTTTTGTTTTTCCTATAGGCTGATTCAACTCAAAAAGCCATAGACGGAAAATCTACAAAGAGTAAGCCGTGATTGTTTGAAGGGGATTGGGTGCCAAATGGTCGGAGTTTCCAGGAGGCTGCGGGCGCGCCCCTGCCCGCAGGTGTGGGGGCCGAATCGCACCGCCAAATCTGGGTGTGGAGGCGTTTTGGAGGGCCCCCGGACCCTCAAACTACCCTTAAAAATGGGTTGCTGCCCTAAAACATGAGGAGACAACCCATTTGTGAGGGACCCAAAAAGCGAAACCACTTTCGGGGATGCCTATTTTGACTACCCCTATGCTCCTCTCCCCGGGCGGTTTGGATTGGAGTTTAGGTGTAGCTTCCCGACACCAGGAACCAGGGGTGAACGAATCCAAACCCGCCAAGGGGACACCTGAGTGTATGCTGAGGGCCCCAGCTGCAGGACTCCTGTTTTCTTCATCTGGGCAGGGTTGAAACCAAGGTTTAAATTGAATCTGCTTATTTTATAGCGAGCTCACCGGGGGGTATACCGAGCTCACGCATGACAAAGGTTTGGTAAAAGAGTCAAAGTACATTGGACTGAATTTTGGTCCCTGAAATAAGGTTGGCTAAAGAGTCAAGAGCAAAACTGAAATCCATGGGGCCTTTGACGCATCTCAAAAGACACCCGGCCCGCCCCTTGCGGTCGGGGTCACGGATCCCTTTACTCGTAGGAGCATGTACTCGGAGTTTAGACTATGATAAAGATTCCTAACGCAACCATGCAACCCAAACCTGGATCAAACATATTGAGTACGTGGGTAGTGTTCAGTACACCTTTGAAGTGAAGCCAAAGGGAAGACCCTCTGTAAATGAGAAATGTATATACGTATACTTACTATGTATATATATATATATATGTATCACTAGAGGAAACCAGAAAAGTATGGACATGTTACTTCTTCTAGATCCCTTGCCACCACGTTAGCACCTGGTTCTTTGTCCGTTGCCAGTGGCTTGTCAGGCTGGCGGGAGCACAAAGACCCCAGCACCGGGTGTATGTACTACTGGAAGGAGGCAGGCTGTGTTTCTGCGGGCAGCTGGGAACATATGTGTTTTTTGTTTAAAGGTACCCCGTGTTTGGTGGCTTCAAATGAGAACCACAAGGAACCTTACCCTGGGGAAGAAAAGATATGCATGGGTGCTAGATGCCCCACAAGTTGTAGTTTTTGTCCTGAAAGGACGCCAAAAGTGGACGGATATGATGGATCATTGTTGTTGTCCATGTTTCTCCAGACCCCGATTTTGCACCCTGGTTGCTGAGGAGTGGTCTGGTAAGAGCATTCGTTGTTTCAAGCTTCCAACATTTCAAGCGTTTAGTGATACAGTCGAGGGTTGAGACATTAAAACCCGCATATATGAAGGTTGAGGGGCAGTCCCAGCCAAGCGGTGAAGGGACGCTTTGACTTTTTGGTTGCTGCGTCACCGGCAATCTGACTGGAGCTTGGGGGTTCAGCTCTTGCCAAGCCTATGACCAAAACCAAGGACTCACTTCGACTGCCGGGGAGAGAAAGGAATCGAGGGACACTGGGAGTTGCATCCTGCCTGAGCTTAACCCAGTTGGGTCTGTCTTTTGCGGGAAACCAAGAGGAAAATCCAAATCCAGTTTGGGGGGGTCCCCTGAAAAACTTAGATCACCAAGATGCGAGAGGGGCCCACGCAAAATCGACTCCAAGGGGGTCCTTGGGGGTCCTTGGCACATCGTGTGGATGGTTGAAATCGAAATCCAGAAATCGCGTTGCACCATTCAGAAAAGGTGGGAATGATGATTCCCCAAAACCAAGCAGGAATTCTAAGTGTTTCTTTTTTCGTGATTGTTTCCATAGTTTCAAGTTTGGTGCCAACCATATAGTTTCAAAGTGGTGCGAAATGGGTTTCGCCCATCGGTACAAAGCAGGTGTATGAGCAATTCCCGAATTGCGATACCCCATGGTTCATGAAACCAGATGCGTTGCCGCCCCGCAAAATGATCCATCCCCGCTCAAGAAGTTCAGTCCGCTGCTGAGAGGTTCGACAAGAGCAGCTTTGTCTTGGTGGATTTGACGACCCACCACACAAATCTCATGTCATGGTGCCCATGTCACACCATGCAATCCCATATGAAACCCCGCCAAGCGGCTGCATAGTGTAGCCCTCCAAGTGGTTCCTTTCGTGCTCCTTGCATTTTTTGCCAGAGTGTCTGGTTTTGTTAGACAGTTGACACTGTGCGCTGCCTCTGTGTGAGGCGGATCCTGCCAACACCACCACTTGGCAGCGCCCAAAGTAGTGGCAAAAAGCTCCGCGGCGCGACCGACTGGCGTGATACTTATTGCCTTGAAGTTTGGCGGGTTCCCCGTGAAAGATGGTTCATCCGCCCTTCTTCTACCTGAGTCATTGCACAAAAGGGGGGTGTTTCATTTGTTCCATGCCCAGTTGTCGAAGGCCCAAAGGACCACGCTACACGCTGGAGAGTCCCAGCATTGATCCCCTGGTCTTTCACGGGGTTTGTTTGTGCAACAACCAGGCTTGTCCTTGCATGTTCAACCAATTTGGCAATTGGCTTGGTTATGACCATGTCTAGCTAGCGTTTGGAAGGGACCGAGGGGTATCCAAATTTGCCTGTAAAGCGGGAGCCTTGCGGAGCTAACGGGAGTTGCACATCTCTCGGGGCTGTTGGGGTTGAACACCCCCAACCCAGATCTGTTCGAGGCTACAGGTTGGGAGAGTGTGAAGTTGGAGCTAGAATCAAGCAGTCCGGGAGCACCCACAAATGTGATCCGGATTCCCACTAAAAGCTGCGGATGGTTGCGAAATCCATTTCGCACCACTTTGAAACCGACAGACAAGTATTACATCAGCATCCAGGGTTTCTGACTGGCGCCGCGACATGGATTTCGCAACCATCCACAGTATCATTTGTTTGGTGGTTTTCCAACCAGTTGTCATCCCATGTAAGGGACCTTTTGGTCAACCCCCGCTCACCCCAAACAGGTGCTCAACCAAAGAACCTAAACTAGTCCGACATTGGACCCTCCCGCCCGCGAGGCTGAGTCGTTGACCGGTCACTCAGCAGGCGCGGTCCCACGATAAACAGCGAAAAATGCGGACCCATCGGTTGCGTTTGTGAATGATGTCTGGCCAGTGTGGCCAGGGCTCATGTTTGCTAGTTCGGGCGGGGGATTACTTGGTTGATGTTATGTCCTGTTGGATTTGCTGTGGCGCTATAAATACAAACAAACACGGTTCTTCACTGCATTCCACCCTTGGCACCTGCCCAAATCCCAGGTGTTTGTTTCAGCGGACAACGGAAAGATGGGTTGCTCATTGACAGCTTTTTGGGCTCCTTGAAATCCCTTTTCCGCGGGATTCCCCACTACAAAATAGATTCAACCGCCAACATGTTGGTTGACGGAGGGGGTTGGCCCGGACTGAGGCGCAGGCGCAGAGGACGCGAAGTCCGGAGTATGCAAACGCACCACAAATCACAGTGTTTTATGGGGTTCGTGGCCAACTGGCGTCTTCCAAGTGCTGTCAAACCTGCGTATTCGTGTTTAGGAATTCGGATACGCAGCGTTGGCAGTGGCACTTCTTACACGCGTTTTGGTGATCTGCTGGTCTATGTTGCGTTGGGCAAAATTCCTGTTAAGCGCAGCATATTCTCGAGCACCAGGGCTGCAGAAGGCCTCTGGACGCGCGCATTACGGGTCCGACCTTTTGAGAAGAGCTGGCTGCGCCTGAGCTAGTTTTTCAACAGTGCACCCATAATGCACTTGGGCTGCTGCGGCGGGCTGTTTGAGAGCGTAGCTTTAAGCTACAAACTTCATCTTCCCATACTTTCTTGCTTGCGCGCTGCGCGGGCGCTTGTCACGTTGGCGTCTGCAAGCTGCTGCGCGCACTCCGTCTACTTCCAGAATCCCTGATGGAAACACTTCTGGTTAGCGCAAGCTGTGCCCAGGCTGTCACCACACAACACATGCCATAGACCACATTCTCGCGCAGGTCAGTGGCTGTGTCTTGCAGTGCTTTGGCAGAAGTCAAAGATGTCCGAACAGAACTACCCCCGCATACGCCTGCCAGAAGTCAGCGCAATCCAAACGCAAGCATCCCCCCACCCACCCCCCCCCCCCACCATCACCGACACTCAAGTCCGGGCCAACCCCCCCGTCTACCCAGTATGTTCCCCTTTGTCTGCCAAGGGTAGAAAGGGGGCCAGTCATCAACAGATTGGTTGGACAAAACTGAGGGGCCAGGTCGTGAAACGGAGGATCTGTAAGCCTAGCTCTTAAAACCAAAAGGAACACCGAGTCGGTTCCGGGGTCCGACTCGTAACAGAAGATGAGCCACCGGGTTTCGCAAAGACGAGGTTCCTCCAAGACCTTGGCTTCCGTGGTCTCGGAGGGCCCCGTCCTGCGGATCATTGAGGCGCGAAATCGTCGTCAGAAAAGCGCGACTCCGGACGCGGTAGGGGGCCGGATGGATCTGGAAGTCGGGTGCTCCGAGTCGCTAAGTTGGGTATGGGTCAAAATGAAACCACCAGGGACCGCAGGGTGTTGGCGTTTACTGGGGTTCCATTTGAGGTGTTTATGTTTGACGCACGCCCAATTGAGCAAGCCTGAAGTTGAGTTCGCCAAGCCTCAAGTTGATTTTTCCAAACCTGAACTTGGTTGAAAGTGGGGCTTCTCTTTTTGCCTCCCTTCCTGGCCAACTACTTTTTCAATCATTCGGAAAAGGTCCTGTTGGTTTCCTTTTGGAGAGATCAACTTTCTCCTGAAGGGTTGAGTGGGAGCAACCCTGAATATCCTCACTGAGTCCTGTCTTTTCACACATTCTTTGTGGCCTAGGTGTTTCGATTTCCGACACACATGAAGGTTCATGGAAGGCGGTGTCTCCAGAGACATGTCCCGAACATTTGTGCACTACAAGCACAAAATATCAATGGAAGGAGTCGCAACCTTGTGCCCGTTGGAGGTGGGGAATCTGCAACGCAGTTCAAGCCGCAGCTTGCTTTCTTCAGTTCGGAATTCCCGGCTCGGGACGTAGCACGGACTGTCGGATATGTCAAAGCTCTTGGGGGGGGTGAGGAAACCACCAGGACTCCGACCTTGGCCGTCCCGAATTTTGAGACGCATGGCTCGATCCTAGAAACGCCCACCGTGTTTTTCTTTGTTTAAAAGGTCACAAACCCCAAGGGGGGCTATGGGCAGGAGGGCTATGACTTCTTAATCCCTCAAGAAGACACTTATTAAGGGCTTATCCAAGGCTTTTCCAGGGTAGCCCCCCCGCCATAGGCTCATAGCCCCCTTTGAGGGTCCATGAAAGGGGAACCGAGTTGTTCGCCGGCTCAACAGTATTTACTCATTTGGTTGGTTTTCCTTCAAGGCAGGTGAGCCCAAAAAAGGCTCAGGTCCTGAGTTCGTAGACTTTGGGATTTTTTTGGGGTTTGCGTTCAATCTGTTGGGGCTTGGGTTTTATGGACTTTGAGTTTAAACTTCTTTTGGGTTTGGACCTTTTGTTGGGCCTCGATCGGAAGCTTTTGAGAGCTCCCTTGTTCTAGACGGCTCACTGGGCTCGAGCGCAGGACAGCGAACACCCATGGCCGCCGAAGGCGAGTCGGCTCCGTTTTTTTTGGGGGGAGAGCACAAAACCCATCCGTGATCAAGCACTCACTTCCCGAGTTTCTTGAATTCAAGCGTTTTGGGATGACCGTTTTGGGGGTGAATAAAAAATGACTCGATGTTGTGTGATCCTAGCTTGAAGGGTGGAGACTCCAAGGTATTTGCTTTTGACAAGGTAGAACAACCTGCGCGTGTTCAAGCCAACCAAACCCGTTGTTTTGCCTGTTCCAAAAATACGATCACACGTGTTCCAGCCAAGCACATGTTGCTGCTGTTCCAAATATCTACGGCCTCCACTCACTGAACTGCCCCAATCTCGCCTTGTCGAACACTTCGCTTGGCTTTGGGACCTGCACCGGTGAAAAGCCATGCGCTGGTTTCAGGCCTCCACTGGGTGCCCCATGTTCCTGAAAGCCCAAGCCCATCCCGGAGCCACATTAAACCCACCTTAAAATGAACTGGACAACTATCCCACAACTGTCTAAAACAAGGACCTTGCAAAAAAAAACCGAGAGGGTGTTGTTTTGTGCAGGGGTGGTTCCCTTGACCATCAGCAACGGGTGCCCCCTCGCAATTTGTTTCATCACTGAAGGCTGAAGGTCTGAGAAGTGGCGGCCAGGGAAACCGAGCACCTGGAGTGCCGAAGTCTTCAAGCACCCAACGTCTGGGGTCAAATCGCCGCTGGCCTCGTTTCGGCTCTAGCTCCGGCGGCCCGCAAGCTGACCAGTTGTGATAGCAGGTTGCGCAGCAGGCAATGCGGCTGAGCTGACCTCAGACTCAAAGATGTTGTTTCAAGAGCTCCGCTGAACATGTCTAGGTCCCCCAGTAGTGCCCTTTCTCACCCATTTCTTTTTTGGTTGGGAGGGTACCCCTAGTAAAAGAGACTACAGAAAGCGGATACCCCAGTTCGAACCTCTCTACTGGAGGACCTAGATGTGCAAGCGTGGCCTTTGAAGAAGACCGGATGCCCGGGCGGCGTTGGTTTTCGTGCTGGGCGTTGCTTAGGGCTGAGGCAATGGCCGAGTCCCGACTTGAGGGCCTCGGCGAGCGCCTCGGCCCGAGCTGACCGGTGCGATCAGGTTGCACAGCAGGCAACTCGGACGAGCTGACCTGAGAAAAGAAGACACTGTGGATGGACGTAGCAATACAGAAGCTTTGCTGCAACTGTGCTGAAGCAGATTTTGCCCCTCCAGGCCACAAAGGGATGGCAGCGGCGGAGTGCTGCCTGCGCGCAGCAAATTGGTTTTTGTTGAGGCCCAGCGCAACTTGGACATCCTTCAGGCAGAGAGCAAGTTGGACGGCCATGTGGCTGTGGGTCAAAACCAGTGGGATTCCATTTTGGAGTAGGTGCACCACCCATTTTGGTCTAATTTAGTGGGGATTGGGATGTTCACTGGGGATAACCGGGCTTTTGACCCATGGCCATGTAGCGCCACTTGCACGCCGAGATGGGCGAGTTTTTGACTTGAGGCTGAGCTCGCGGGGCTGAGGCGATCGCCAAAGCCCTCAAGTGATTCTGAGTGCTTCTGCGATCGCCTCAGCCCCGCGCGCTGCGAGCGATCAGGATGCGCGGCAGGCCATATGAGCTGACCCTCAGAATCCAAGATCTCACTTCCCGAGTGCCTGGAGTTTAGTGACCACTTTTGGGTTTGGACCCATTTTGAGATTCTACAAGTCTGCTGACTTTTGGTTGGGCCATCGGGACTCAGGAAGCGAGAGCTTGAGTTTCAGAAGCTCAAAGCTGAAAGTGCGGCAGGCGCCGTTTCCAGACAATCACGGCGCCCTTGGCGCGGCCTCGCCAGGAGCTGCCAGCCCGGCATCCGGCGGTGCAGAAAAGCGGGTAGCATGAGTTTTGGTGCAGCCAGGAACTCTATTTTCGGGTGAGGAGAACTCCTTTTGCTAAGTTTTCAAAAGGCAAACCACCATTTTTGGGGGTAGCCCTACAACAAGGCGCACTAATTTTGAACCCAGCTTCTCAGAATCCGTTGCCTCTAGGAAGCTTCCTTTCAGCGCAATGGCCCGGCGCATACCTAGGTTGTGATTCGTGCAAGCTCGAGGTTCTACAAATGGGTGTGTGTTGTTTTGCAAGTGCATTGTTTTGGCTTGCGACGAAAGGAAAGGGAAACCATGTTTGTTTTTGTAGTGTTTTGTTTGTTTTTGGGGTGGTCCCTTGGTTTAAGGCAAACCATATTCATAGGTGGGATTACGAGATTGGTTCTGCGTGTGAAACGAGAAGCCATGATTCCTCGGTCGCAGGTGATGTCTATAGAGTCTTGAAAGAGTTACTTATCGGGGCAGACAATATTCTAGCTAGTGGTTAGAAGGGAGCCATTAGGGAGCTACAGTGGAAGCAGTAGAAGCCCTAAATATTGCAAGTGCAAAGTAGATGTTGGCAACGCTTTTGTGGCATCGCCCGCGGTGCAGACCACTCTTCCGCAGTTACAATGTTGAAGCCAGGCGGCTAACCCGTTTTCCGAGGCCCAATTTTTTCCAAGTTCAACATTGTATCAGGGGATCGGGGTTCGCAGATGTCATGTTGCAGTGCTTCTTTCAGTGGCCGTGCCCTTTGTTTGTCTCCTTTGCACTTGCAAATATTTAGGGACTCAACCGTAGGGCATCCAAATCTTCCAGAGGGAGCCTTGCGGAGCCGCCGATCGGAGTTCTGTGTGGACAGCATTGCTGCCCTGCGAATTCGCGATGAAAAGCAAAGGCGGTCCAATCCAGAAATGCCGGGGCTTCGGAGCTCCATCTTGGGTGTTCGATTCGCCAAGTTAGCAAGTTGTTGGCAACCTAGGTTGTAACCCACTCACAAGCCTCCTGAAGTGGGGTTAGCCCAGTCATTGGTGGGTTGTAGCCAAAATTTGGCCAACCACTTACTAACTCGGCGACATCCAAGTAACAAGCATCATGAACCAAATGGCCAAAGCTGTCAATTTGGCGATTTGAGTCGAGCCAAGCTGGATACTGCCATCTGAGTCACAATCAAAACAGCAAGTAAAGGTTAGTCAGGGACAGTCCCAACCAGAATTAGGTTCGGCCGCCTTGTTAGTGAGGGTTACGTCTGGCCGAATATCCAAGTAACCTGAAACGGCAAGCTGTGGATCGCTCATTGCCTCCAGGTGTCCCAGCTGGGTCAGCGTCCCCACTTTGAGGCGGAGCTTCTGGCATCGGAGTTTGCCATGACATTCGAATGCTGATGAGTCTTCTACGCGTCCAATATATATATATATATACACACTTGTATATGCATTATATTTTTACTTATTGTTTATTTACTTTTATTTTTTTTAGTATGGGGGTTTGATCAACAGGTCCTCTACATGGGATGACCACTTGGGGAAAACCACGCGAACTATGATACTTCCCGCCAAATGGGAAAAGTCACCCGCAGTCATTGACAGGAAACACAAGGGAACACCGCCATTTTGGGGGTCACCACCCACGTGTGGAGGAAATTCCTCTTGGGGACAGGACCCGCTTTTTTGGAGGGGAGCAAATTTTTGAATTGAGCCCCTTTCCGAAAGGAAATGTATGCTTGTTGGTGGGAGGCTGGGTCAGCAGTGGTACTTCTTGTTTCAATCCCAGTTCTGCACGAAGGGATCTTTCAATGCATGCTTGAACCGGCAACAAGTCAACTTATTGGCACTTCTGGAAGACATACATGTTCCTACTCACTAGCTAACAGTTCTCCTTTTCGCCTGAAACTAGGACACATCCGAATGTAGACAGAGCGAGAACCAACGCGCAGCTTGAACATGATCATGATGCATCCCGGGCCAGACCGATCTTTGCGTGCGTTTTTGACGGCGTAGCCGTGGTCTTTCTCCATACAGTCACGCCAATTTCTTCCAGCCACAGAGCACGCTGGACAGTTGTGAAAGCAATAGGTTCGTACAAAGAAAACGGGGTTTGAAGAAACTTTAGTATTGATCCAAAGGTCCATCAGGCAAAACTCGGCGTTTGGCCGAAGGACTGCGACAAGTGATTGCCTTTTGGATTGCCCGTATCGTTGGGAAGGCCTGTACACTGCACAAAAACTAGTCTCAAGCCCCACCCCCTTCCCAACGCAATGTGGACCCCATATAAATCAACCCCAGCAAATTGATCAGGGGGTGCTTTTCCCTGGGTGAAACGTGGGGACTCAGACCACTTTTCTTGGTGGCCCGCAGTCGTCCCCTTAGCTTTTTAGGCTTTCACGGTTTGGTAGTTTTCATTTGACCCACGAAAAGTGCGTCACTTTGAGCGGATCAGAAAACGGGCAGCCCAGCCCCAGTTTTGGAGGGGCCAATCCCCAGGGGCGAATGGCCTCCCGTGGGCCTTCAGAGCTCGGCTCAAACTCTTTGCAGTTCCCTTCAGCTCACATGGCGCTGAACTTTGTTGCCCCGGCCGGGAACTGGGAACCGGGGACGGGTTGATCAAGTTAGTCGCTGTTAATATTTTAGCACAGTGTTGACAGCCCGGTATGCTTGGTTTCCTTTTGGTCCAACAGCCGGGCAGGGCTGGTTGTGGTCAACCGGGAACTCGCCGGGGTCGAACGGGCGAGGCAACTGGAGGTGTTTGGTGTGGGGACGCAACCAGGGTTTGTGGTGTCAAATTGTTGTTTTCCCCAGTTGTCCGTGATAGAAGCGGATCTCCCCCTTTATATGGGGTTTGTCTTTGGGAAGCCCTTCTCTTGCCGGGAACGGCGAGGCAACTGGAGATGTTCAGTTTCATGGGGACGACTCTTGCATATCACAATGAGATGGCCATGTTGGATAGAGATAGATACAATCCTTGAGGGGCTGCTGATCCAGCTGTTAAAGTTTTGGGTGTTTGCGTGTTGCTGAGCATAGATGTTGAACAGATGTGATGATGACGATGACGATGGCAATGACGATGGGTTGGTGCACAAACTCTTCTGGAAGACTAGCTTCACTGTTGTTGGCATGTTTGTAGGTTTTTAGGTTTCTGGGGTTTGCCACCATATCAAGGGTTAGAAAGACTAGCATCCTTGCCCGGAGAGCCTTAGAGAGGTTTGCACCATAGGCGGTTCCCTTCAACACCAAAGCCGCTCCCAATTTGGAGACAAACCCACCCACCTCACTCCAAGCGTCGTCAATTGCTGAATACAAAAGCCAAAGTTGTTTCCCTAGTTGGTGCGGTATGTCTTTTAAGGGTACCCTTTGGAACATGTAAAACGAGACCACCAAGGCTTTTCACATGTTTCCTCTGACACATCATGACACATCCATACACACATCCTGGAACCCGAAACAAGCATTTACAAATGGTTTCTCAAACTGCCATGTTCCATCAAAGTCTATTCACGGAAAATCGTTTCTTGGGAAACCACCATACTGTGGCCTGCACCACCGCTCAGAAACGGTTTCTGAGGGATGTTTTCAAGCCTGGTTTTATTTTACCGGGGCGCGAGAAGCGGATCTCGCAACCATCCAGAGTATGGTTCTCCATCAAGGTCTATTCACAGGAAATGTTTTTTGGGGAGGGAAGCCACCATATGGTGATTTCAACAATGGTACAGCATGGTTGTAGGTTCCAACATTTTACTCCAAAGCGAATCGGCCGGATCTCAGGAAACCCTTGGCGGTTTGGATTGAACTGGATTTAGATTTGAAGGCGCGGGAATGTGTTTTTTTTTGTTTTTTGATTTTTTTTTCTCGGGGAACCATCTGGTTGCCGCAAGTTGTTTTTTTGCCTGCAGACTCATAGCGCCCTTTAGGTGCTCGTTGGAAAGTCGAAAGGCTGTGCTTTTGAGTGCCCAACTGGTGTGCATAGTGGCTCCCAGCCATCCGGTTCCTTAGCCTTTTAGCCTAGTGTTTAGTGGTTGGATTTCCGAATTTAACCCACTAAAAGTTCGTCACTTGTAGCGGGGGATCAGAAAACGGGCAGCCCAGGTTTCGCTACTGATGATGGGAAAAGATGCTTCTCGCAGCGTTCAGGAACCCTGGAATTTTTGTGGTTGGGATTGCTGGTTTGCTCTTCGTTTTTGGGGTTGGTTGGACTACTGAAACAAAATCTGGGCACACTTGGATGGTTGTGAAATCCAGAAACTAAATACACCACCGAAGAGAGAAGAGAAACCTGGTTTCTGATTTAATTCCTCAGCAAATGCCAAACAACCAATGGTTTTCCACAGTCTCTGGAGGCGTTGCCTGGCACCGGAGCGCTCGCCACCGGCTTCAAGCCCAAGGCCCAGGCGACCGAGTCGAGTCGAGACCGAGTCGAGACCGAGTCGAGACCGAGACGAGGGCGGCGGCGGCTTGTTTTTGGGAGGTACCTGGACCCTCAACCCATGAAGAAGGGGATTTAGGCCTGAAAAAGCTTGGGGCAACAACCCTTTTCTTGATGGGAATTCGGAGGGCACGGGTGTTTGCAACAGGAAACCAGGTTTTCCAAAGCATACCCTTAAAAAGAAAGGGCTGGTATTTGGAGTAGGGGATAGCTTGCCCAAGCAGAAACAAGGGAGGTCCTTCTACGACCTCACCCGGTGTTTCAATGGGAACCCGGTTTTGGTTGCCGAACGTTCGGGTCTTAAGGTCAGGATGTTAGGCATCCCCAGGACCTCAGGACGTTGAAATGGACAGTTGCTACACGGTTGAAAAGAAGAACGGTTGTTGGAGCGTGCTGCACTGGACATATTATGTTTGTTGCTTCCAGGGGCCTTTTCAATGGTCAGGTTCCCCTTGATTTGAAGCAACTTGGTGGTGGGTTGGCTTGGGAAGCCACCCAGCTGTCCACCAAACCACCGGACCCGGGCTCCAAGCCTCCCTTTAAGCTGAGCCGATGGACGCAGTTCGAGGCCCCGGCGGCTCCTTTGAACTCGGCGGGAGCCGTCCTCGCCACTCTACCTCTGGCGGCGGTGTCCCGCCGGTCCACCCGTGAAGCCCGCACTGCGCGGCGACCAACGGGGCGAGGCGGTTCGTTGGGAGTTGGGCCGATTTCCCCGAATGGCGACTTGGACCCTTAAGCGACCCTTAAAAATTGGTTCTTGCCCCGAGAATATGAAGTGACAACCACTTGTTCATAGTTTGAGGGTCCAGTTAGCCAATGCTGACCCCATAGTCTTCAACCCCAGTTTATTAACAGGGGGTGTCCCTGGCTTCAGGCTTAGCGACGAATCCTCACTGGAAAAAAAACGCACTCGCCGATCAAAAAGCTTCGGTTGATGAACAGGGGGTCAACATGAGCGGTTGGAGGGGAGCCGGACTCGGAGCGGCCACTCGGAGTTCTTTTGCTGAGCGGGTGTCTCCAAATCTTTGTCTCTTTCTGTGTCTCCCAAGTTGTTTCCGATGCGCATCTACCTCTTTCGTAACTGCTTCGATTCTTGCCAGGCATCCAAATCTTTGCACCATGAACCCAGGGGAAGCAGCGATCGCTGTTTGAGCAGAAGGATGGTTGACAAGAATAGGGAATCAATCCTCGACTTAGGGAAGAGGAAGAGGAAACTAAAAGGAAACCCAAAATTCCTGATTTTCAGAAACCCCCACACGGGTGTCTCACAAATACCGCCCCCCCCCCCAAAAAAAAAGGAAGCAAACAAACAAAGAAGTTTGTTTTCTTGCATTTTCCGGTTGACCCAGCCCAAAAAAGGTGAGCAACACCCCAATCAGAAGTCCCAATTTGTCCGATGGCCGCCTACCCGGTCTTTCCATTTGGAACGCTGGCCGCGTGAAAGATACCCAGAAGCACCCGCCGCTAGCTTCCTGTGGGGCTCGGACAGTTGGCAAGGAAGATGCTCCAGAAAAATGGTAGGACATCCGTTGTGGTTTCAAGGTGGCCAAGGAGCTACTTAAAGGGGCAAGGAACTTAGTTAGTGGGCAATCACCATGGATATAGCCCACAAAAGCCGTAGTTATGAGTCTCCCAGGTGGGTTATAACCAGGCTTGCTAACAACTTGCCTGCACCTTTGAGTACGGGTATCCGAAGTGTGCCTTCAAAGAGGGAGCCTTGCGGAGCTACCACTCGGAGTTCTGGTTAGGGACCCTTTGAAGTGGATGGATGTGAACAACCACAAGGAGCAAAACCAAAGAGGTTTGCACGCTTTAAGGGCATTTGGGTACAGTTGTTTCTTTGTTCAAAAGAATGGGTACCCCTTGGTGCTTGAGTTAAACTTCTTTTCTGGGCACCCCTGAAAACACCAGAAAGAAGAGCCGCGTTTTCCACGGCCCCTTTGTTTCGCTCACTTGCAAAAAAAGCTTGGCCTTTTCCCATTTTGGCCCCCCTTTTCTGGTGCCAAAAGGTGATCACCTTGAATTTCTGGCTCCAAAATGGGCAGGAAACGTGCGCCGTGGGCGTTTTTCCATGTTTTTCCCTCCCAGGGAGAAAAAAAAGATCGAAGAATCACCTGGAGTCCGAAATGGGCACGAAGTTTCACGGGCGTTTTCCTGCGCGGAAAAACCCAAGATCGCAGATCGAGGCACGGCTTTTGGGGCCCAAAGCCAGCGCGGAGCTCTTGGAGAAGCGGGGCGAGGTGGACGCGGGACTAGGCAGGGGTCGCACTGGCAGAATCCGGTTCCTCGGGTTTTGAGAACTCACCTCACTCCCTGAGTTCCTGGACTGTAAACTTTTTGGGAAGACCATTTTAGTGGTAAACGGAAAGTTTGAACTTTTTTTGGCTCATCAACTCAGGAAGTGGGGTGAACCCCCAGTCCCTGACAAAAATTGGAATTGGGGGAGGGGAGGGGGGGAAAAATGAAAAACCCTGGAATTCCATCCATGGGTCCATTTTTCCTGTCAGAGGGGGCTGACCAAAAGGTCCTTTGTGTGACCATTGGTTGGGATACCACTCAACCGACTTGATATTTCAATAGTCAAATTTGGGAAAAGTTCCCCATGGTCATTTCGGGGCCGAAAGGGAATATGGATCAACTCCCACATGAGCCACAATCAAAGCTTGGGTAGATGATCCGGTTAGTAAGGGGCAGTCCCAGCCAGAAATAGTTGCGCCCGCCTTTCTAATTCTTTACATGCTTCTGGGTTCTCCATTTTTGTACCAGGTTCTGATTATGACTCACATGGACCGAATCCTGCTCCTCAGGAGTTTAGATGTCAATTTTTGACGGCGCTGCTTGAATTGCTGGCGCAGGCTTCCGGGTCCATGCTGGTGTAAGTTCCTGCTTTCCTCCCCCGGTGTAACCGCAATCAAGCCTGACCCTGGGTTGCCAAAGGGGCCGCCGTAGTGGCTTTCAAATATGAATCATAATCCTCGTAGTAAGCAACCAGCTTTCCGGGGGTCTAAAAAAATGGACACCCATTTGGGAGTTTCTCAGGATGGGGTTGGGACCCACTACATGGATTTGGATTGTTTGGCAGCGGCCTTCCAACGCTCGGATCGAACTACCCATCGCCCGGAGGCACTGCGGAATCGAAGCCTTGGGAGTTCCTGAGCGGCATTGCCAAGGCACGTCTCCCCCCGGCTCGGGGCGTTAGTCAGTTGGGTGCTTCTCAAAATCAACCACCTAGGAATCAACCAACCAGTTTATTAATTAGTCCCAAGGACTACCCGCAAAAGCCTGGTTGGCCTTTCGGGTTCTCCTTGACATGCCAAACAAAAGGGCTGCACCTGTTGGGAAACACCGATGTGGCACCGCGAATCCCCAGAACCGAAAACGCCGAGCTTTCGATAGTTTACTGGTTAGCGAATCGTCCGGTTCCCTCGGTTGTTGAGGTGGTTAGTTGGTTTAGTGGTTGGGTTTTCATTTAACCAGCTAAACATTTACCGAGGCATCTGACAGACCAGCTAAAACATGTTGACCACATATTCCTCAACCCCAGTTTATTAGTCGGGGTGGGTACCCCCAGGTTTAGTGGGGCATCAGATCACTTTTGGAGGGTAAGCACGGTTGGTTGATTAGTATGGGGTCAACACTAGGTGGTTCAGTTCCTACCTGTTTTTTTTGGGACTAGACTGAGGCAAGGTCGTGCGCGCCGCTCACAAAGGGTATCCGGGTTTTAGGGTATTTGGGTGGGGTATTTGCCACCTTCCTTTTTGCGTGGGCATCAAGGTATGTGTTGTTGTTTTTAAGGGTCCCGGCCTGATGGCATTTAATTGGCACACCTGTTGGGTAGCAAGGAGGCACCTTCTAATCGCAGTTACCCTGGTGTTGTATCAACAAGGCACAAGGAGTGAGAAAATAGTTGTTGCTTTATAAGATCAACACACAAAAGACACGTTTTGGTTTTATAGCAAAAACAATGCAAAACAATACAATAAGTTCAAAAAAGAAAGAAACAAAGATCGGAAGCAGTGTTTCTTCACTGTTCTTGGCATGTGTTTGTTGGTTCTGTTCATTTTTACTGGGGGTCTGGACAAAACAGTCAGTTTTTCGCCAGCCCATACCAAGAGAGATGGGTTCCTCGTCTTGTCCTCTTGGTTTATCCTGATGCTTTAGGCTTCACCGACCCCATTGGCCTTGCGCTTGCGCCCTCCCGCCGAAAACGGGAACTGTTTGGCGAGGAAGTGGTACATCCTGACCAGAGGTGCCTAGTCCTAGGTCCCCCAAGGTGCCAACTTTCCCTAACCCAATTCTTTGTTGGTTGGGAGATTCGGTTTCCCTACTAAAATAAGCTACAGAAAAAAGTTGGCACCAACTTATTCTAACCTCCAAAACTGGAGGACCTAGTGTCCCTTGGGTGGTATATCACTCGCTCAAAGCCGACCTTTGGACCTGTTGGTTTCAAAAGGTCAATCTTTGATATCTGGGTTTTGGGCAACTTGGGTTTTAAACATCACCTGTTTGGCCCATGAGGCTGAGTGTCCCTTGAAATGATTTAAGGGGAAATATAGCAAGCCCTCATACATCAGTTCAGGCATTGAGTTGTTTTTCATCTTTCCCCAATTGTTGGGTGGATTTCACCCACATGCCTTTTGCTTGCTGGTTTCTCCAAGGGAATCAACCAACCAAGAGCGGTTCCAGGATCTCTGCGGAATCGACTTGGTCTTTGAACCTGGAGTAGCAACAATTCGTTGGAAGTGAGCAGGGACTATTGCTTAACTCGTCATTTGAGTCACAATCAAAACCGATTCGGGTAGATGATCCGGTTACCCCGGTTAGTAAGGGAAAATCCCAACCGTAAATAGCTGCGGAAGTCCGGCTTCTTAATTCTGTACATGGTTCTGGGTAGACAATTTCAATACCGGGTTTTGATTATGACTCATTTGAACCCATCAGAAAGTCGACAAGCCTTGCATGCTAGTGGAACCCACAGGGAAAATTGATCAACATGGAATCGGATCCCACTACATGTTGATCAACAGTTCGCTACCCATGCTTAAACTGGTCAACATGTCTCTGGAAACCACTAGCAAATTGACACTGTTTGGAACCCATTACAGTATCCAGTACATTGCTCAATTGTTAATTTGAAACCATTGATTGCTTCGGCTGCATTGGTACACTATTCATTCAAACCCACCAGGATAAGTGTCCTCAACTCAGGGCTTCGTTCCCCAAAAGCATTTGCGGATATCTGCGGATTTCCACAGGACGCCGCACGGGCCTGGTTTGTGCAGCGCGCCGAAGACCGGGGCGTCGCATGGAGGCGCAGGGAGAGAGACACGCGTCGCGAATTGGAAAGGCGGTAAAAAGAAACAAAGTTCTCCGTAACTTCACATGAATTGATGAATTGATGAATTCGAATTGATGAATTAATGAAAAGGTCCTTGCAACGAGTTACGTCTTCGTTTGCCGGAAACAGGAATATATTCATCTACCACATGGCGCTTCGGTCTTTGCAGAGTGGCCACGGTTCGGTTCGGTTCGGTTTCCAGAAACCTAACCTGTTTAATTACGGCTCGGTTCGGTTTCTCATCTGAATTCGGTTCGGTTTGGTTCGGTTACTATGGTATGTTTTCAGTTCACGGCTCTTTGCACTGTGCCACTTCCAGCCGTGCGCCACACTCCTAGCCTCGGCGTGCCAGCCTCCTGTCTCTATCACAAGGCACTCATTAACACTTTCAACACCACCTCCATCCCCAACTCCACTTTCACAGCCTCACCTCCAGCCTGCCTGCAGCCTCACCAGCCTCGCCTCCAGCCTCACCTCCAGCCTCATCTCCAGCCTCACCTCCAGCCTGCCTGCAGCTTCACCTCCAACTTCACCTTGCACCCTCACCTCCACCCTGCCTCCAGCCGCGCCTCCAGCCCCTCCACCTTCCAGCTGCACCTCTCCCCTTCAACCTCACCAGCCTCACTTCCAGCCTTACAACCTTCACCTCCAGCCAGCCTGCTGCTTCCAGCCACCAGCTTCACTTCCAGCCTCCAGCCTCACCTCCCGCCTCGCCTGCCTTCCCAGCCTCACCTGCCTTCACCTCCAGCCTCACGTCCCCCTCTTCAGCCTCACCAGCATCACATCCAGCCTCACTTCCAGCCTCACCTCCCGCCTCCTCACCAGCCTCACCTTCACTTTCAGCTCCAGCCACCATCTTCACCTCCAGCCTCACCTGCCTCCCCTTCAGCCTCACCAGCATCCCCTCCAACCTCACCTCCAGCCTCGCCAGCCTCACCTCCAGCTTCACCTTCAGCTCCACCTCCACTCTCACAACCTTCACCTCCAGCCAGCCGTCTGCAGCCTGCAGCCTCACTTCCAGCCTCATCTCCAGCCTCACTTCCAGCCTCACCGATTACCTTTAGCCTGCCCCCAGCCTCACCAGCCTCACCTCGAGCCTTTCCAGCCCGACCCACTACTTCATCGCCACTGTTAGTTAGTAGTCATACGCTCAGCTTCACCTCCAGTCTCATCAGCTCAGTCCCGCCAGCAGATACCTTCCCCCAATATGTTGGTTGAGCAAGGGCAAGGGCCTTGAGGTCGCTTTTGGTGGGATATCGTTTGGTGGCAATGCATCACAGCCTGCCCTGGGCTGCTGAAGTTTAGTGTTGTTTGGCAACCTGGGAGATTGCCTTCATTTGGGCCTACTCCAGAGGGACCACTTATGTCTTTAGACCCTGTCCAGCTAAATGACTGGCTCTCTGGTCAGCATGGCTATGTAAGAGCAAATTGTTAGCATTTTGGCTAAAGTTGCATTCTTGTCTGCAGCCTTGTCTGGCAGCTCACCAAGCTCTAAACCTAACGATTCGGTTGTTTTCCTCTGGACGGTTCGGTTCGGTTCGGCTTGTGAAAATATCGGTTCGCAGACGGTTCGGTTCGAACGGTTCGGTTCCACGGTTCTCGGTTCGATTCCTGGGTTCCCTGTCTTTGGTGTGACTGAATCGTCGGAGAAAGCCTTTGGAACAAATGGCTTTGCCGAAGCTACAAGAGGAAAAACACTTTTCGCGGGCGGAAGACAAACCCAGTGCATACCATTCTCCCAATCACTCAGTTTCCCAAAAGCGAATCGACCTGTTGATCTGTCTTCTTCTCATGTTAGTCTATTTTTAGTTATGGCCCCAAGATGTTGACCTTTTATGTCTGGGTCCTTTGGGCAACTGTGAACATGGATCCCAGAAACCCAACCCGTTATACTGGTTGTACTCTTGTCTTCTTATTTTTGAAAACCATGTCCAATGTGAGTGGCGACCGCAAAGTTTAGTTTGTTTGCGTGGGTGGACTTTACGCTGGAAAGACGCATTGAGTAGCAGACAAGAAACCGGCTTGTTTTGGCAAATCTACTCAGCAAGTGGGTAGGTTCTTCGAAACAACTTCGGCATGAATCCTGGCTAAACGTTTCCTTTGTCGCCTTCTGATTGGCTTCCTCTTGGCTTTTCCTTGCACCGCAATTGGTTGCGGGTTGGGCCCAGAGCATGCTGCGCATCTACCGGCAAAGACAAGCACATGTTTGGAGCACTGGCTTGGGATAGGTCTTCTAGACTCGCATCTACATATATATATATATAGCATCTGTTCCGATTGGGTCTTACTCCTTTGTTGGCCGCAGAAGGAAACTTGGATGCTGAACCCAGAAAAATAAATCCCTCTTTATTAATATAGAGGTGCCCTTTTGGAGGGGCACCCGCCCCGGTTTTTATAAGCAAGGGTGTATTGATCCGGGGTCATGATGTGGGTCATCGCCAAAAAGGTGACCTCCTGTCATTGCACAGACATGGCCATCGGAAATCCAAGAACGCGGCATCTGAAAAAGACGGCTTGATCGTGACCCTCCGCTCCCTCCCGCAAAAAGTTGGTAAAAGGGCACTACTGGGGGACCTAGTAGAGAATGGCAACTCAATGTGAAGCTGTATGCAGTAGCTTTCAGCGTGACCGAGGCCTCGGATATTTTTAGGGAAGATTGTCAGAATTGTGTGGGGGGGGGGGGGTGGGTTCGGGTGCAAAATTTGGGTTGTGCTATTGACATCACTAGGTCCTCCACTAGAGAGGTTAAAATAAGGGTAGCCTTTTTTCTGTTGTGCTATTGACATCGTTAAATGCTTGTGACTTTCCGCTACAAAAATAGACTACAACAAAAACGTTGGTACCCTCATTCTAAGCTCTCTACTGGAGGACCTTCCGCATTTTCCACCAAGTTGATTTGCGCCGCGCAGAGCGAACACCCTAAAGTCCTGAACTCTAATCCCCAACCTAAGGCCCTTGCGCGGAGTGCCTAGGCAAACGCAGACAAAGCCTTTAAAGCCGCCCCTAACTGAACGACCAATCATGGGGCCAAGTAGACCCCTTGTTTTGTTTCCCAGACCCCATAGGAGACCAAGGCCTCATTAGTTGAGGTTGTTGGGGGGTAAATGCCCTCATATTCAGGGTCCAAGGGGCTGTTAGGGAAAGCAAAACCAAAAACCCAATGGTATGGTATGTTTGATTTTTTCCCAGAACCCCTTGCAGAGCACGCAGTTGTGGCCCCCAATCGGTGCACATTGGTGTTGTCTTTGTTATTATGTTTAGCAGGAAAACGTAAAGGGATACCACATATTTGGGTGTTCCGTCAAAGGACAGATCAATTTTAAACCCTTCTCATTGGGATGTGTTCCCTCCAACAGTGATTTTTCCGCACTGAAAAAGATGGGCCAGCCCCCAATCAAATTCATGGGGTTCTGCTTCGATCCGTGCCCATTTTCAGAAGCGCCCCATATGGGTGTGTGTGTGTGTGTTGTTTTTAAAGGAACTTCCCGGTTTTCCAAAAAGGGGTACCAACTCCAAAAAGGACACCTTTAATATGGATACGGGTTTAAAATTTTACAATACACCACCGAGGGACCGCAGGTTTTAGTCCAGGTTTCCATTTCTTTGTTTATGTACACATGGTGAAGTGGGTTTGTTTCCGAGTTGGGGCCCCCTCATACTGTGTGGGTCCCTGGGTTTCTCTGCTGAAACATAAGAAGGACGCGGGCTTGTTTCAAGTTTAAGTCCCTCTCCAAAACAACTCCAAGCATTTTTGTTTCAATCCCCAAGATTCACCGCATTTCCCCAAATCAACAGTTGAGCAACTTGTTGAGAACCAGCAAGATTTCGGGCCACCCATTTCGGACAGAAAAAAACAGGTTCATGGTGGAGAAGATGCAGGCGCAACAGCAGGACTTGGAGGCCCACTACGATCGCATTCACAACGAGCCGCTCGACTTCCATTTTCTTAAGAATGCTTGTTTATTTTCCCCTGTTGGTTTTAAAGGGAATCTATCACTACTGGAAATGTTGTTTATTATTTGTTCCAGGGGTCGACGCGAGCCGAAGCTTTTCCGGAGTTCGGATTCGGACGGCGAACACGTCGCCCGTGGGAGTTGGGAGGGTCCCTTGTTTTTGGTTCCGTCGGACTTTTGGATGGTCCTTTTGTTTGTCTGTGGACCTTCTGAGGTCGATTTAAAGGGGAACCAAAAGGAAAACGTGTCAACATAGGCGGACCCCAATTGATTCTGTTTTTTATTCCCTTCAAACCTACCTGAAAAGAGTACACTCCGAAACGCATGGGCCCCCACACGGCGTCTGCCTGTTTCGAGACACAAAAAACAAATGCAAAAGGAGCGACGCAGCCCTCCTCTCTCGACTTGGCGACCAAGCCATGTGGGTTTTCTACAACACGGAAGCGATGCGTTTCTTATAAGACTCACTCCCCGAGTTCCTCGACATTAAAAGCTTTTGGGCTTGGACCATTGTAGTGCCAAACCAAAAGTTAAAAGCGAGAGAAGGCTACAGCCAAAAGGCAACAGAATGCAACTAGAAGGTCACTATCTTCGAGCGTGTCTCACGCCCGGCCCGGCAAAGTGTTTGAAGGCGGCACACACCGGGCATCACATTTGTGACCATGGGTGCCCAGCCAGTGACAAGTCCCGGCTTTGGTCGGCAAGTTCTTGGGGACCTCTGTGATCATGGGCAACGCCATAAATACCAAATCTTGATCCCAATGGTCCCATGCCTTTGTTGTACTTTAACAGGCGGGGTTTAGGCGACCCCCCCCCCACAAAAAACAAAATCGGGGCTTACATCTTGATTGCCAGTGTACCTGCCAAAATGTTCTAAGGTTCCATCCAAGACCCATTGGAATTCTTGCAGCTTGACTGCGAGTTTGGGTCGGGTCTTTCGACTTGAGCGCTTTTTGGTTGAAATCGAGGGTTTGCCGTATTAAGCCCACAGACCAGTTAAAGACTTTTTGCAGAGGGGTCAACAGCAACCAAGACATGGGCCTCCTTTGAACACCGCGAAAACAACGGCAGCAAGTCCAACCGAGAGGCGAGAATGCTTGAGCTAGGGTTTGGCTTTTCTGGCTAAAAGCGATAGCAACAGAAAGCAATATTGTGCAAAAGCCCGGATTCCAATCATATCGTAAGAGTTCCATCCATTTGGCCGGTTTTCCCAGAATCGAGAATAGTGAATGCCCGCGTAGGCAAAAACAACATCCGCAGCTCATACCAGAGGAGTGGGGGGGAGGCTTGCAGAAGGGGGTCGCATAGAAGTCAGCTGTTTCATATGGTCCCCACGCCTCAACGACATTGAATAGGGCTAAAAATTCTTTGGAGCGAAGGCGACCCTTCAGAGATATGCCATCTTCGCACCTTTTCTTTTTGGAGACAGCTCATATTTGTTTCCTCAAGATCCATCAAGTCCCCAGACTTGCCTTAGATTGCCAGGGACCATTTGTTTACCCTCCAGCTTTTTTGCAGCATGTTTTTTCTGTCCCAAGGTCACCTTAGATTGCCAGGGCCTTCCAGCTTTTGCATTGTTTTTCTGTCCCCATCGAGTCCCCAGACTCGCGAGGAATCATTTCTCTATTCCCCGCCAGCTTTTGTGTTCGTTTATTCCCCTCCAGCTTTCCGCATTTCTGTGGATCATTCGTTTACCTTCCCCAGCTTTTGCGGCCTTGTTTTTCCGTCCCCAGGTCCATCGAGTACCCGGACTACTACACCCGCTCGTTCCACGGCTACGACGAGGGGAATCTGAGTTGGCGGGCGGCGCACGAGCTGGCCCCGGCGACCCAGTCCATGTGCTTGGGCTACTACGACGGAATGGCCTGGCCACCTGGCTCCACATGAGTATGGCGGTCCTCAAATGGCTGCGTCTATTTTATAAGGACCTCCCCCCCAAAAAAGAACAAAAGAAAAAGAAAGATGAAAACATCAAGTGCCTGGACCCTCAAACTACCCTTCAAAATCGTGTTTTGCTCCAAATTATGGGGTGACAGCCAATTTTGAAGGGTAGTTTGAGGGTCCAGCGGTCCAGGTGTTCCTTTTGGTTTTCCTTCAATGCCCACAAAGAGACCTGGCGGGACCGCAAAAAGACGAGCCCGAATGGGAATGGGATCCACGCGGATCCCATTGCAGCTTACATCTAATTCAGAGCCGGAGGGACGGACCCGAATTGTTCCCGGTCCATGATGGGAACAATATCAAAGGAGCGTGTGAAAGAGACATGTGAACTTCAGATTAATCCAGGTCAAAATCCCTCTTTCCTACTCAAATGGGTTTCCACCCCTGATTAGTTCAGTCCTGCTTGTTGAAATCTGAAGTTTGGTGTTGTGTGTTTTGTTTCAACAAGTCAGAAGCTGTGTTTGTTTGGTCAAAACGGCGACCAATGGTCAGCCGCCAAAGTTGACCTCACCTTGGTTCGGAACCCTCCCACGTCACTGTCGGCCGTCTCACTGGGACCATTAAAAAGGAAACTGCCCTCAAGGTCGTTTTGGAGAGCCATGGTTGCAGGGAATCCCCTTCAAAGTGATAAAGTACTCATGGGAATGATGGTCTCACAGAAGTCACGGAAAGGCTTGTTTCCACAAGATGTACCCACTTGACTTTAGTTTAAGTGTACCCACTAAAAGCGACCCATCAAGATAAATGTGCATTCTCCTGAACAGTACCCCAAAAATGGTGGTGTCCTTTTCGGTCTGACAGGTTTGCAAAGGTCCGCTCCGAAATGTCCAGTCTCGTCCATTTGACAAGGGACTCATGCCAAATCCGGCCCCACACACATTTTCTTTGCGTGTACAAGTATACCCCGTGAAAGTCGGGGTGGTGGTTCACGGGATACCAAAAGCAACACCTTCAACCACTATCCACTTTGGGGCGTGTCTCTTTTCGGGGCTACTTTTTTTGTTCAAAAAAATACATAGTTCTTTGGGCAACAAGAGAAGACCCTCCTTTCTTGGTGGTGCCCTCCGCTTCCTCAAACACTTTTTTCCTGGTTGGTTCGGTGGTTAGAGTTCAGTTGATCCCCGCAAGTTCGGCACTTGCGAAAAGTTGGCCACCTTTTTCTTCTTCTTTCCGCAGATCGGAAAACGGACAGCCCCAGTCTTGGGGAAAGTTTTTTGGGGTGGGTGCCCTGAATCCCCCCCCCCCCCCCCCCGATTTTCGGCACATGTCGAGGCAGGACGCCCAAGAGGAATTCCGCGGCGGCGCCCGCCGCGCCATCCAGGACTTCTGGGCCGCAGGCCAGCGCCCATGGGTCATAGGCGAAGGTCAGGTGGTGGTTTGGTGGATTGGTGGTTTGGTGGATTGGTGGTTTGGTGGTTTGGTGGTTTTGGCGAGTTTCCCATGTGTTCTCTGCAAGAACCAATCCCCCAGCCACCAAGGCGAACCACAAAGTTCCGTCCATGTGGACCATTACAGGCCAGGAATTTGGTGGGCAGTAGCATTTGGATGGTTGGTTGAAAGGCTGCTATTCTCACTCTCCGAGTTCATGGACTTCAGCCCCTGGGGTTTTGGACAATTTTTAGTGGTACCCCAAGGCTCCCGATGCTTTTTGGGCAAATCCTCAAAATGGGTTGTTTTCAAGGGCCCCTGAAAAATTGGTCCGGGTTCTTCATTGGAGGAGGGCCCTGCGTTGGAGGGGTCATGAGCCTTAGGCCAGGGCCAAGACACCCAGGAAGTGAGGGCACCTTACATTGTTGGGCTATGCGGCGGCGTTTTCCTTTGAAATGTTGGATCGTTTTGGAATATTTTAAGCGGTCCCTAATAGACAAGGGGTCCTGTTAGGGGCAAGAAGTCAATATGATTTGTCCTCATTTGTCTTGATGCCTGACAACCCCATTCTGAGGCCTGAAATCTTCCTTTCGCCAGGTTTCTGTGTACGGGTCCCTCACTCGAGTTGCTAGACTTTGGTCGCTTTTTGGGTTTGTCTGTTTTAAGGGTACCCCCTTGTGTGTGTGTGTGTGTTTCAAAGGGAAACCAAGAGGAACACCACCATTTTGGGGGTCCCCTCAAAACAACACGTTTTTGGTGAGTGCGGTTGGCTGCTGTCCTGGTCGTGCTAATTCTTTGCCGTGGCTTTCTGGATGTCTGCGGTTTGACCAGGTTTGGTGGAAGCAATGCTACGGCTATGACATGATCAAGTGGCAAACATCCTGGATTCCCATTCCTCAGGATTCCTCATGCTGAAGTGGCTTCTATCCAGTTCCGACATCCTAGGACCCATTCGTTGGCATGCATGAGTCATTGTCGAGGCATGCCCGCAATGGGCCCTGTGGATCCCATCTATCACTATAGTACGTAAGCAGCTTCTTGTCAGTCCATTTTGAACATAAGGGCACTTAGTCCTAAATCAAAGAGGTCAATATGCTGGAGGTAATCCTTTACCATTTGGTCCTTAAAGGGTGGCAAGTCCTTGGTTACCTATTATACACGGAAATGGAATCACTGGGTAATTATAGGGTTTGTGGGGGAAATTTAGAGAGTCCGTTACGACTGGACATTCTGACCGCACCTCGGTGGGAGTTCCAACGAAATTGGGTGACTCAGTCCCGTATCCTCCCCGCCTGCCTTACGTAGTTGCGTGATGCGTGGTGCTTGTAGCGAGTGTTGTTTGTACTGTTTGTGTTGTTTTTGCGGAATCTGTGTGGCTGGCTGGCTGGTTAGTTATATAGTGGATTGGCTGGCTGGCTGGCTGGCTGGCTGGCTGGCTAGCTGGCTGGCTGGCTGGCTGGTGGGTTGGTTGGTTGGTTGGTTGCCTGCCTGCCTGCCTGCCTGCCTGCCTGCCTGCTAGCCAGCCCGCCCGCCCGCCCGCCTGCCTGCCTGCTTGCTTGCTTGCTCGTTCTGTTCGGTTGAGTGTTGGTGCCGAACTTCATTCAGGTCCATATTTCTTGGTGGCTCCCAGCCATCCCTCCAGCCTTTTAGCTTTTTAGCTGTTTAGTGTTGGGATTTCCATTTAGCCCACCAAAAAAGTGAGACTTGTAGCAGGGCATCTGAAAACGGACGGCAATCCCCTTACCTTTTTTGACTTGTTTGCTTTTTAGTGGCTGGATTTCCCTTTGACCCACTAAAAAGCTACACGCTTGGACGCCCAGACGCCCATATCTCCAGGTGCGGACAAAGACCCAGAGACCTTGCTAGACCTCGGCTGCAGCGGGGGCTTTTCTTCCAAGGAGGGGCGGCAAACATTTGGATGTGGCTCGTCTTCTTTTTTTGGAGTTGGTACCCCGGGTTTTGATGCTTTTGAAGGCTTTAAACGGAAACGAAACCACAAAGGAAAACCAAAAGGGGTTGATGCCTTCTTCCCCCGGTTTTGGTACCCGCTTACGGGAACATGGGGAGTCCGTTTACGGGGCTACAGCTCCTGAATCCAGTCATCCCCTAACCCAGTGGATCCCGATTACCACTATACGTAGGCAACGAGCCATTTGCCGTTGGTTTTTTTGGGTGGTTCCCTTGGTTACCTACCAAGCCAGGGAAATGAAATCACTGGAACCACAAAAGGGGCCACCGAAAATAGGCCCTCGTCTTCAGTTCTATTTGGTGCTTTGGTTGGTTGTTCCATTGTTTTTCCTATAGAACCAGGCCTTCCAGCCAAGAAAGTGGTTTGTGTTCGGTTTGGTTTGGCTTGGTTGTCCCTTTTCCCCCTTTCTTTGAAGGGCCTTCAACTTGCTGGTGCTCAGCGGGGAATGCGGACCTGATGCCTAGAAACACACCCGGGACCCTCCAAACCGATTCATTCTCAACACCCCGTCTTGGTCATTCCCAACCTATCGCACCAGCAAGTTTCCTTTTTGGTGCTCCAAAAAGTTCTAGACAACGGCACACATGTTGACCATCCAGTGAGGCCTTTGAAAGTAAGCAGGCGATGTCCTACCCTCTAAAAAAACAGACATGCTGGTCTCTTTCAAAGCAAACTATCTGGCCACAAAAAGTTGACAACCATTTCCACCAAACCGCGAGGAGATGTCGAAAGCCTTTCCTACGACAAAGGTCTCGGGCATGGACTTGAGCCCCTACTTCCTGCACCTTGGATCGATCAGCGAATCGGATGCGCAGATATACTAGCTTTTCCAGGTATGGAAATTGAATGCGCAGGCATAGAACAAAACCCTTTAAGTGGTATATCACCATAGCTCCAGAGTCAAGTTACGGCATTTCCAGGTATGGTGTTTGGATGGATGCTCAACCACCATTTTTGTTTGCTTGTAATGCAGTATTTTCCTTGTATAAGGTGGTACATATCACCTCCATAGCTCGGAAATTCCAGCTTGACACACCTCGTTCTTCGAATAGCACCGTTTGGTTCGGGATGGGGGGCAAAAGAGGTCTGAATCCTTGGAACCCCCCCCCCCCCCCGGTGCAAAGTCAACCAGAGGGGTTACGGAAACTCTGGGGGGTCTCATAAAATGAGTGAGTCCAAGGCACGAACCTAGGAATCACTCGCCCAAGTTGCAAGCTCACAGGGGATGAATCGCCTTTCTTATCACACAGCTGACATATTCCACAACCAAACATGGGTTGCTGCCCCAAATTTATGGGGTGCGTCTTCCATTTCTATGGGTCGTTCGCTTCGTCGGAGCATGTGTTTTTTTTTTTTTTTTTTTGTCTTTTTGTATGGGACACCCACAAATTGTGGGTTTCTTGCTAACTTTTCTTTAGGGCTGTCTGTCTTTTCGGTTCCCCTGCTAAAAGTGAATAACTTGTGAGTTAAACTCGGACATGTTTACCAACTAAAAACCAATACAAAAGCAACGAAAAGGCTAAGGAACCGGAACCGTTTGGGTGTTAAAGGGAGTCTGGGAATCCAACCCTCCCGGACCCTCAAAATTCCCTCAAACGTTGGCTATTGCTTCCAAAAAGTATGGGGTGAGGTGTCCCTTCGGTTATTTTGCCCCTTTTTCAATGGGTAGGTAGCTTGGTCCAGGTAGCTCGCGTGTGAATCCCCCCGAATCCCCACGAGGCGAAATTTGCTTCGCTGCTGAGGTCTGTGGCCAAGCAGTGCTACCCGCAGATCGAGTTCCTGCACGGCAACGCGGAGTCCACAGGCGTCGGACAAAAAGCAAAGCGACGGGAGACCGTTTGTAGCCTTCCATTTGTTTAAGAATATGTTTCTAATTTTGCTCTGTTATGTATATATATATATATATGTATATATATTATTATTTTCCCCTGTTGGTTTTAAAAGGAACCGTTCACTACTGTTTTTTTTTTTTCTCCAGGGGGCTTAAGCAAATGGACGGTACGGGAAGGCGATGACGTGTTTTGTGTTTTTGAGGGAGCTCGTTTTGGTGGTGAGCTTGAACAAAAAAGGAAACCATCCTAGTGATTTTGAGACATGTGTTTTGGGGGACCCTTGTTCATGGTTTCAAGCGCAAAGAAAAGGATGCCACCCGAGAGATTGTGAGATATGGTGCAGTGAGGGCGTTTCAACGGGTTTTTTCCGTGTTGGGGCTGGGGCTTGGCGCAGACAGGACGCTCTTTTTTTTGTCACCAGGGGAAGAGGCCAGAGACCCTTCAACGAGGGGCGAGAAAGCTTTTCCCTCAACTCGGGGACTCGCTAGTCGCAGGTTAGTTCTTTCCCTAATGCTCATGACCCCTCCAATGCAGGGGGGGGCCTCCAATAAAGAACCCGAACCACTCAGGGGCCCTTGAAAACAACCCATTTTGAGGGCCCAAAAAGTATCGGGAGCCTTAGGGTTGGTGGTGTGGATTGATTGGTTTGGGGGATTTGAGCACCAGCTTCTTTTGAAGAATTACGTGGGGAAAGTACACTCCCTTCCGGAATCTTAGAACTACAACAAGCCTCTTTTTTTTTTTGGGGGGGGGGGTCCAGGTTCGTAGAAGCCCTGTTTTCGTTTTTTTCCTGTGGGGTACCAAGATCATGGACCAGAGAGAAAGTACCTAAGATCCAAACCACCACACCAAGCAACAAGTTGGCCGGGGGGGTGGGGGTTGGGTGACAAGCTTTCCATGAAAATAGGCGAACTGGATCCTCAAACTACCCTGAAAAATGGGTTGTTGCCCCAAAATGATGGGGTCATCCCGCATTTTTAAGGGTAGTTTGAGGCCGGGGTCGAGGTCTACTGTACCCTCCCACCAATTAAACATGGAACCTGACTTGTTTGGTGGGTCCTGGTTTGGACCATTCTCCTTTGAAAGGGACCGGCCAACGTCAGCTTCCATGCTCCCCCTGTTGGCTTCAAAGGGAGTCGAATCCTCACCACTGGAACTATGTTCTTCTTTTTTTTCTCCATGGGGCGTATCCGCAAACGGAGAAGCAATTGGTGGGTAACTCTTCCAACTGAACATCGCAGCAGATAGGTTTTGGCAAACAGCCTGAGACTTAAGATCTTGGACGGGCTTGAAGCGCATGGAATGGGTGGCTCGTCATTGACGAGGATTGTGTTGTTTTTGTTATTCCAAGCTGTTGCTTTCAAAGGAGGATCTTTCACTACTGGGAATATGTTCTCATTTTTCTCCAACGGACGGAAAAACAAGAATGAAAGTAAAGCACGCTAACAGGCACCTATACCCCCTTTTTGGTGTTCCCTATTTTAAGACATACCCATGTTGGAAGAGGATCATAAACCCCATACGAATCAACCCAGTTTATCCATAGGCGGGCGCGGGCCCCTCCAAAAGCGGTCTGATTCCCCACATTTCTCCCAGGTTGACACCCCCTATTAATGAACTGGCTAGTTGATGAATCTGGGGTCAAGATCAAAACTTCCACCCAAAGTCTTCCCAGGTCTTCCCCAAAAGTCTCATGTCTTGCTCAGGTGAGCAAAGGTTTCGGATGTGAACAGTACCTTGGTTTCGGAGGTTTGCCGGATGAGTCCTTCGATGTTGTGACCCTGAACTTCCTGCTGCACGAGCTGCCCCTGGATGCCAGCAGGAGAAAAAGAAGACAAGGGAAGGCAACAGATCTGGTGGGGCGCCTTTTTTTGTGAAACCCTTTTTGGGGTGGTCTTCAAGGGGAACAAAGGCTATGTGGGCGTTTTTCTGTGAAACCCGTCTTGGGGTGGTTTTGAAGGGAACGCCAATTGGTGAGACTCTTTTTAGGGTTTAAAGGGGAACAGAAGGAAAACCACAAATTGCAGGGGGGAACCTGGGGGAACCCTATTTGGAGACAAATCCCATGTCTGGAGTCGTTTCCTTTGCTATGAGGTTCGGAGGAAACGAGGGCACGCCCTGCGCCAGAAGCAGCTGCGCCAGAAGCAGAGATCGAAAAACAACCCATGTCCCACCTGACCCACTGGGAAGATGCTTTGGTGCAGAGAGCAAACTACATGCCGCTTTCCACTCTGAATTCTATTTATTTTTCCACGGAATTGCCTACCTATGCGAGATCTGGACATCCATTCAGATCCCTCTGCTTCGGGATGGTCCCGGGCCAGCAATTTTTTGCCTGCCTGTGGCTCGTTTCGGGGGGTATGGAGATGTGCAGGTTGATCCGTTGGGTGTCATGCTGCTTTTGAAGCGACTTGTTAGGTTGGTTAGCGGGGAACCGAAACACAATCATAGCTTGGCGGTCCCAGCCGTCCGGTTCCATAAAATATTTTGGTCGTTAGTTGTTTTTAGTTGGTTTAGTAGTTGGGTATCCATTTAGCCCACAAGATATCAACTTTTAGCAGAAGATCGGCTTGGACTGCCCAGCCACGTTTGTCATTTTGCCGTGGTTATACCTAAATCATCCGGAAGCTTGTCAATTGAGTGAGGACCCGGTTTTGGAGTGGAAGGCAAACCACAAGGAACCCCGAACTTCTTTTGGTGGAGGGAAAAGGTGGGGAAAAGCCCCTATTTCCGGGGTCATGATTGTTTGACGGTTTCTGGGGTCAAGTCAGAAACTGGCTGGTTGTTTCCCTACCACTGGGGAGTGACCCGTCCCGTGTCCCCGCGAGTTTAGCCGCAGGAAAGTGCTGCGCGAGGCGAGTCGCCTGCTGAAGCCAGGAGGTGTTGCCTGGAGAGATCTTTTGGGACACGGCGATTCGGGGGACATGGCGAGGTGTTTGTCTGAAACCTGGAAGGGGGTGTCTGTTTTGTGGGGTACTCTCTTTTCCCCGTTTTTTAGTGAGTTTTAAAGGGATGGCAAAAAGGAACACCCAAATAGACACACCCACAACAGGTCTAACGACCTTTTGCTCGGGGGTGGGGGGGGGGAGTTTGTTCCGCCCCAATACCCCTTCCGCTGGCCATGTACCGAGAATGGCAAAAGGACATCCCTGAGTTAGAGTCGCTTTTGCGGATTGGGACCTTTTCAAAGCACGGCAGGAAGCCTTTGATTAACAGTTCTGGGCACATTGCAACCCAGGGGGCTGCATCGGGGCCCCTTATTTCAGGGTGAAGCCACACCCAAAACCCGGGTAGATGAAGGTTAGGTGCGGCCGCCTTTTCAATTCTTATGGGCGGACCATTTGAGTACCAGGTTTCGATCATGTCTCAATATTCAACAGGAATTATGGGAAAATCGGGTTGACAAACACTCCATCGTGAACAGCCCAGTTAGCATGAATCTTGGCGGTTCCCAGCCGTGCCCTTAGGTTTTTCGGTTTTTGGGGTTCAGTGCTTCCAGACTACAGAAAAATAGGGTACCCTTATTCTAACCTTGTTACTGGAGGACCTAGTGTCCCTTGTAGGTAACCAGGGGCTCGCCATCCTTGAACACCCTCCGGAGAATGGCCCCTTTACCTATGGCAACTGAGATCCGGGACAAACGACACACATTCACACACAACACACACACACACACACACACACACACACACACACACACACACACACACACACACACACACACACACACACACACACACACACACACACACACACACACACACACACACACACACACACACACACACACACACACACACACACACACACACACACACACACACACACACACACACACACACACACACACACACACACACACACACACACACACACACACACACACACACACACACACACACACACACTTTGACGGATACAGATACACTACACCAACTGGCTGGCTGACCATTAAATGCATCATGCGCCTGCAAGAGCAAATCACAAGTACCATTGGGCAAAAGTGATGCACTCGGTTTTCGGCCACAACCTTGGCGCAGCAACATGAATCGACCAGAGCAGCTCCCAATAGACGAATGGTTCCCCTAAAATCGGACGCCAAGCCGAAAAAGCGAAACCCGCGACGAAACCGAGTCGGCCCAGGTGCTGGCAGTCCTGGACGTGGACCCCAAGCAGCTCAGCGCTCTGCCGCCCTTCCGGCGCTGGGCCTTTCAGGTCACCGAGCCGTGGTGCAAGGATGGCCACTCGGCTCTTCACAAAAAATGAAAGCCCGGGTTGGGCGCCAGACAATCCGACTGTAGGTGCTTAATATGTGTGTATATATATATATATATATGAGTAATTATGAGTATAATATATATATATATATATATATTATGTGTGTATTGCATATATATAGTATGATTATATATATAGTAACAATTACACACCAACATGTGTCCCATGAGGGTAATTCGCGAATACATATCATTCACGGGTTATTTGGGAACTCCCTGTTGGTTGGTTTTAAGAGGGGGTTACCAAAAGTTGAACGACAACTGTTTTATCTCCCATAAGCAAGACACAAACATTTTACCGTGCGGGCAAGTGTTCAGTTCAGTCTTGGCACTCCCAAAAACTCCAACTGTAGGTGTATAATATATACCAGCGTATTGGACCCGTGAGGGTCATCTCACTCTCTGAGCTCATGGAGTTTAGTCACTTTTTGGGTTTGGACCATTTTAGTGGCAAACACAAAATTTGGTCTGCTTTTGGCCATTCCACTCGGGAATTGAATTGAAAGTGTAGTTCCTGGAGTGCTTGGGATGTAGGGCTATGGTGGTGCCAACTTTACTTTTGCTTGTGTTGAACGGTTTCATATTTTGCAGGCTCGGATGCTGACGCTTAATTGCCAGAGGATGAAACAACTTCTCGTCTCTACATGTCTCTGCACACTGGTTTTTACAGAACATGCTTTCGTCGCTCAAGGACAAGCACAAAAACGCCTTCCCTCGAACTACCATGAAAAGTGGGTTATTGAAAAACATGTGGGGTGATAACCCATTTTTGAGGCTAGTTTGAGTGTCCAGGCCCGGATTTTCATCTTCCCCCCCCCCACCCGTCCCAACTTGTTGCGGGAATTTCTCGTTAGGCGAGTATTTCGATCTGAAGCTCGGCCCGGAGCTGGAGCCCCTGGGCTTCCAAGACTTCCAACAGATCGCCAACGACCCCGTGAACTCCCTGGCGCTTGCCCGCAAGGCGCGATGCCATGCGGCGAGCGGCGAGAGCTCGGGGTGAGAGCGGGGGAGATTTTGGGGCGTCGTTTCAGATGGGTTCGGCGACAACCAGATTCCGAATGAAGCAAGTGTTGCAGGGTTCTGGAACTGTATGTTTTGGACATGTTTGTGTTTGCGTATGCTCGGCTGTCGCTTTCGGGTGCGCTGCTATCTGTTCGGCAGGTATTGGTCTTGGGCAGGCCCCATTTCTGTGATCTGATGGACGAAATCCGTTTAAGCACCACTTTGAAACCATGGTTGAAGCCATTGTTTGTTGGTGTTCACAGGGGAATCATCAGAAACCAGGGCTTCTTGGTTGTGCAAATTGTCATCTTACCAAGGCAAAGGCCTGTGTTTGGTTTGGTGTGTTAGTTCAAGGTGTCCATCCGGATCCTGAAACTGAAAAAATGGGTCATTGCCCCATAAATTTTGGGATAATCATCCATTAGGATAAATTAGGGTAGTTTGAGGTTTCAGGCAACCAGGCGGATGCTGTCCCGCATAGGGGCATAGGGGCCCAATAGCGATCCCGTTTTGGCCTGCGAGTGACTCTCGTGTCAGATCTGCGGCCGCTTTGTCTCCAAAGGAAAAACCTCTTCTTCCATTTGCTGAAGGGTATTTTGTTTTTTGCCCTGTTGGTTTTAAAGGGAATGTATTACCACTGTTTTTTCCCCAACAGCTGAAAGCATTAGGGTCTCAGCCCAGATAGGGTTCGGGGTCCGGGGCGACCCTGAGGTAAGGTTCCACGAGGGTTCCACCAGGCTTTGACCAGGGTTCCACGAGAGGTTCCACGAGGTTCTGCGAGCACTAAAAAGAGCACCGCATGCTGTTGGGGATATCACCTGATCTTATTTGTGTGGGGGCTTAAGCAAATGGAGGTCTAAAATGGGACTATGTTATATATCTTCGAAGCACCCCCCAGAGTAAATTCCATGGCGTCCACGTCCAGAAAATTGGCGAGGGTCTCCACAAGACATCGAAAAACTTCCATTTGTTTAAGAGCATTGTTTGCGTTCCCTTTTTGGCAATAAAAAGGGAAGCCATTTCACTACTGGGTCCATATTTTCGGTTTTTTTTCCAGGGGGCGGACATGCGCAAATGGAAGAGACATGTTCGTTCGGCCAGGCGCTTTGAGCAGTGAAAGGCATCAGAGTGCCCTTGGGGAACGAGGCGGGGGCAGCTAAGCTTTGCTCGGATCGATCTGGAAAACTAGTCTAGGTCCCCAGTAGTGCCCTTCTCTCCCCTTTTTTGGGGGAGGGTTCCCCTACTAGAATAGATTACATGAAAAAGGATACGCTTTTTCTAACCTCTCCACTGGAGGACCCAGTAATCTTGCTGGTGCCATAGGTAGGGAATGACCAAGACCTGGTGTTGGGAATTCGCTCAAAGGCCACCATAGGACATTGTTTATGGGGGCTACTCTTTCATTACTTGCTCAGCACGAGCAAGTCATCTAAAGGGCAAAATACTGTCTATTATTACCCCCATGATTCATGGCTTAGTTTTGTTTGAAAGTACCCGACAACCCCAGTTCTAAACACTTTATTTAGCACCCGCTAATATGCTTTCTCCACCAATGATGGAAGTGGTTCAGGGAGGGGCCTTTTCAAGAGGAGAGTTGTCTTCCAAAACCCTCCTGTCCCCTTCTGGCAATTTGGACAGGTACTCTTTCCCTTTCAGCTAGCAAGCATTTGTTGGCAGGTTTTCTCGTGTTACGACATTGCCCCACTAGCCTAGAGAGTGATTCTTCGGGAGGAGCAAGTCTATGACTGCCCCAGAGTCAGTGAATCTGCAAATCTGCAAATTTGCCCACCCACATCAGATTTGATTTGCGCAACTTTCCTGAGAAAGAGCCAAAGAACTGAAAGATCTACGGGTCAGAGCAATTTTCTGAGCAAACCAAAACAAGACTGGCTCGTGGTTGTGCATCGAACGTGCATATTACACGTTCTGTCAACATCCGGGGATTTGCTTCAATGGGTCCTCCCTTTATTGTGTGATGCAAATCAACCATGCTCTCATGCAAAGCCCGACGGGCTCGTTCAGGCCGCGGTACAGTACTCACGGATTGTCTTGCAAAATTCGCGGCGAGGACGTAGCTGCAGCCATGTCGCTTGCCATAGCTTGCTGACGTCAGCTTAAGCCATTGATGCTAGATGACATTGCAGTACTGACCTTCATGTTTGTGTTACGTAGTTTTCGGGGTTATAAAATGAAGAAGGGCCCTTTATCTTTCAAACTGTCAAGCGGCTTGCATGCAACGAGACTCGCCCCGGGGGACTTCGTGGCTTTGAACGGCCCCATAGATGGGCACGGAGGGCTGTCATCCTCTGGACGTTTCAAAGGTGGAATCTGAGAAAGGTTGCTTTTGGTTGCAAAGGAGATTCTGCGTTTGAAAGCCTGTTGGGTACGTAATGACTGCGTATTTTTTTGAATTGGCAAACTTTTGGGTTAGTGCGGGCCTTCGTCATTTTGGTCACAGACCAAGACGTTCAAACTTATGGCTGGTCAGCTCAGGTCAGAAGGGCGTCCCTCCTAGTCAGCTTGGCTGAAGATACCCAGGTTCAACTGGTTTTAGATTCACCAGCCCCAGTTTATACATAGGGGTTGTCCCTGGGTGATATGTGGGGATTTATCACTTTTGGAGGGGCCTCCACGGTCCTTGCCTTCGTTCGCGAATGACATCGGCTAAAAACACCTTCTGTGGATGTTTCAAGGGGAACTCGGTTGCTCTTTGCTTTGACCTTTAGTTGACCTTTGACCTGTGATCTGTGAGGATCCTCAAGCCAGCAAATGGTTGCCTAGCTTCCTGAGCTGATGAACTTTATTTATACTTGTGCTGAAGGCTATTTTTTGGTGCCAACCAAAGTTCCGAGTTGTGTTTGGCCATCCACTCACAACCCTGATGTAGAAAGCAGTATATATACCCTGTTCCTCCCAGATCGTATAGCAATATATTAAGAAAATTGCACACGTGCATTCAATGGACAAGATGAGACCACCATTCCCAGATTGATGCAAGCACGGCCGACACCAATGCATTTCTCAAGCATATAGCTCTTATTACCACATGCTCTCACTGATACGCTGTTCCTGAACCGCCGGCCATCCTAGGAGTGCGGTTCTACTTCAAGGTTTAACAAAGATTACCACTTTGGTGCATGTTGCTTGGATGTTAGAACTTTAATTGTTTGCCAACTAATGGGTTTTCCATTAAAGCACTAAAAGTTAAACTTTTAGCAGGGGAGCAAAAAGCAACCAAGACCAATTGTAAGTAAAGCTTTGTCACCTTTTTGGTACAGCCAACAGGTTCTGGGCGCTCTCATGGCAGCTGGCGGCTTGTCATCTGAGCCACAATCAAAACCCGGATAGATGAAGGCCAGTAAGGGACAGTCCCAAACATGAATAGCTGCGGATATCCGACTTCTTGATTCTTGAAGCATGGTTCTTTGAAGCATGGTTCTGGGATTACGACCATCTTAATACCGGGTTTTGATGAATGACTCATTTGATTACTTTGGATGGCCAATCCACTCCGAAGTCTGGTTCACCCAAACCTATTCAACTTTGAACCCCTTCGATACCAACATGGGGCAAAGCAGGTTACTCCTTTGGGATGACTTCCGCCATTCGGGCAAGCCCTTCCTCGGCCCCCTGTGGATTGTACACAGCTCAGAGGTTCCGATTCGCGGTTCGCGGTTCGGGTTCCCGTGAATTCAGGCGCAAGGTACAGATCAGAATCCTGCCGTGGAGTTGAAAGCTCGTTGAACTGTGCAAATGTGGCGATATAGGGATTTTGAGGCGCAAAAAGGGTGGTGTCCCTTGAAAACATATTGTGGTTTCCACCCAAGGGTAGATGGTTTCCCTAAGACAGTGAAAAGGGGCACCCAAAGATGTGACTTGCTTCGGTTCGGGAAGTCAGCGGCAAGTCGAATTGCAACACACCCGAATGAAGGCTCCCTTTTTGGCTTCTGGGGGTCGCCCAGCTAGGTGCCCTTTCTCTCCCATTTCTTTTTTGGTTGGGAGGGGTTCCCCTACTAAAATAGACTGCAAAAAAAAGTTGGCCTTATTCTAATCTCTCCACTGGAGGACCTAGCCAGTGGTTGGACGGCAGCCGGACTGGTCGAGCTATGGATATCCAAATCTGAGCAGGGAGGACATAGCAGTTGGACAGCTTGCGGGATTCTAAAAGGCAACCGGGCCACTTCCTTTGCTGAAATGAATATGTTTCAATTGTCCCCTGTTGGTTTTGAAGGAACTATCACTGTTGGAACTATGCTTCATTTTGTCAGGCGGGCGAAAATGCCATTGCAAGCCCAAGTTTAGGCTCTTCGGTTTGATTGGGTAAAGCTTGATGGGCTTGGCTGCTCGCCTGCTTCCCCATTTCCCTTGGTCCAGTTTCAGTCAAGGCAAAAGCTTCACCGATGATTTGCTCAGGTTCCCTTTGGGGGAGGGCTCAGGATCCATTTCTGGGCCTATTCTGTTTGACTGCTTTTCGGGGGCGAGGTCGGAGCTGGCCCACCACGTCAGTAAAGTCGTGCCATGTCAAGGGCCTCACCCATCCCATTTTGTTGAGGGATCCTTCTCTTACATTTGCCGCACGCGCCAATATGTGCGGTGTCTCATAAGAATAGGCGACGAGAATGGGGAATCAGTCCTTAGCATGTCCACGTTGTTCAAACATATTACACGAGATAAATACGGTTGAATCCCCTCCCCGAATCCCTCTCCCTCAAAGCTGCGAGAAAAAAAGCGCACCACTGATGCCCTAGACTCGAAAAGCATGGACCAAGGCATGATCACTTGTACATGTATGTACATGTCCCTATATGTTATTATGCCTATATACGCATATGGTTTATGCATATAGTTGTGTTTTGTTGTCATAAAATGCGTGTAGCTGCGTAAGCATATGTCATTTGCATATATGTGCATGATCTACGGAGATACATGTACATTATATAGATATATATATATATATATATATTATATTCCTATACAAATGTGTATATATATATACAATCAAATCCCTCCGTGCAGAGAGCTGAGAAGTCGGCGTCTTTACTTGAACGCACGCAACGTGCCACTCGGTGCGGCTAGCGAGGGGTCGGCGAGGAGCCGCCTCTCGCATGGCAAAGTTGTCCGTTTAGCCGGCCAGACCACAGGAGAAAGAGGTTGCCACGACTATGACCAGTGCTACTACGTCCATTTGCTTAAGAACCTAAAGAAAAAAAGCCTTGCTGGTTTTAAAGGGAATCTATCACTACTGGTTGTTTTTTTTCTAGGGGGCATATCCGCAAATGGAAGACTAGCTTATGTTGCCGAGTGAGCTTCGCGGAGCCACCGATCGGAGTTCCGCAATGGTGGGCTACTATCGTGGGTGTGAAACCTGGAATGGCTACTGGCTCAGTTGTTCAGTGGCCCCCTTTTCCCCCTTTTTTTTTTGGTGGCTGCCCCACTAAAATGGTCCAAACCCCCAAAAAAGGGTTCCTTTTTTTTCCAGGGTCACTGAACAACTGAGCTGGAGGACCTAGTAAATATAGGAGCAACATGCTAGTAGTTTAGTCCATCGCACCTCAGCCGCCGGTCTTGGTGTGTTGCTTGGTGGCGTTTGTCTGCTTGTTTGGTCCCCCTATGAAGGACCCCCCAGGCGTGATTTCAATTTATGTGATTCAAAAAAACGGAGCCACCTATGAAACATGCTACTTCCAGATTAATGATTGTTATTTCGGACGGCACGGGGTAGTCTCCCAAGGGTGCAAACGCAGGGTGCTGTACAACAACGCTTAGACTGTTGGGAGCATATACAGCAAAGCTCAGAACAGTGTAGCATTTGTGAGTGTCTTGTTTTGTTTTGTAGGTGTGTGTTTTTTTGATGTGTGTTGGTGCGTTTGTCTATGCTTTGTTTGCTCGCCTGTTTTTTTGTCTGTCCGCCTGCCTGCCTGGTCGGTCGGCTGGCCGGTTTGCTTGCTTGCTTGTTTGCTTATTTGTGTGTTGCTTGTTGGCTGGCTGGCTGGCTGGCTGGCTGGTTAGTTGGTTGGTTGGTTGGTTGGTTTGTTTGTTTGTTTGTTTCGCTGTTCGTTTGTTTGCTTATTTGTTTTCTTTGTTTGCTTACTTGTTTTGTGATCGTTTTCTTTTGTGTGTGTGTGTTTATTCGTCAGTTGTTTTGCTTGATTGTTTTTGTTGTATTGTTGGTTGTTGTTTGTTGTTGTTTGTTGTGTTTTGTTCTCGTGTGTTCTTGTTTGTTGTTGGTTGTTGCTGTTTGTTGCTGGGTGTTGTTGTTTGTTATTGGTTGCTGTTGCTTGTTGTTGTTCGTTTCTTGTGGTTGGTGCGTTGTTAGTGTTTGTTGTTGTTGCTGTTGGTTTGCTGTTGTTTGTTGTTTGCTCTTGTGTGCTCCTGTTTGTTAGTTGGTTAGCCAGCTAGTTAGTTAGTTAGTTATTTAGTTAGTTAGCTAGTTTGTGTGTTCGTTTGTTTGCGTGTTTGTTGGTTGTTGTTTGCTGTTGTTGGTTGTTGCCTGTATGCGTTTGCTGTTTGTGTGTGTGTGTGTTTGTGTGTTTGTTTGTTTGTTTGTTGGTTGGTTTGTTTGTTTGTTTGTGTGTTAGTTTGTTAGCTAGTTTGCGTGTTTGTTTAATTGTTTGTTTCATGATGTTTGTTGTTTATTGTTACTTGTGATATGTGTATGTATTTAGATGTTTGGTAGCTCGTGCGTTTGTTCGTTCGTGTGGTTGTGTGGTTGCGTGCTTGTGTGGTTGTTTGGTTGTGTGATTGTTTGTTGTTTGTGGTTGTTGGTGGTTGTTGGGTGGTTGTTGTTGTTGTTGTTGTTGTTGTTGTTGTTGTTGTTGTTGTTGTTGTTGGTGGTGGTGGTGTTGTTGTTGTTGTTGTTGTTGTTGTTGTTGTTGTTGTTGTTGTTGTTGTTGTTGTTGTTGTTGTTGTTGTTGTTGTTGTTGTTGTTGTTGTTGTTGTTGTTGTTGTTGTTGTTGTTGTTGTTGTTGTTGTTGTTGTTGTTGTTGCTGTTGTTGTTGTTGTTGTTGTTGTTGTTGTTGTTGTTGTTGTTGTTGTTGTTGTTGTTGTTGTTGTTGTTGTTGTTGTTGTTGTTGTTGTTGTTGTTGTTGTTGTTGTTGTTGTTGTTGTTGTTG